TATTTTCATTGGGATTGCTTTGAATCTATATAACAGTTTTGGGACAACGGCCATTTTCACAATATTTATTCCTCCTATCCATGAACAAGGATGTCTTTCCATTTTCTGAGATCCTTTTTGATTTCTTTTTTCAAGGTCCTATAATTTTTCCCTGTATAGATCTTTTACTTCTTTTGTGAGATTAATTCCTAAGTATTTCATTTTTTTGGATGCTAGTGTGAAGGGTATGGCTTCTCTTATTTCTCTCTCAGTGATTTTGTTGTTAGTTTATAGGAATGCTATTGATTTCTGAGTATTGACTTTGTATCCAGCTACATTGCTGAATTTACTTATTATATCTAGGAGTCTTTCAATGGAGTTTTGGGGGGTATTTTATGTAGAGTATTATGTCATCTGCAAATAATGATAATTGAACTTCCTCTTTTCCTATCTTTACTCTTCTTATTCTCTCCCTTGTCAATGTCACTATTTGAATATCACTTTGTATGCTTTAATTTTGTAACTCGAATAACTATTTCTAAGATGATGGTATGTAACTTCTTGACTGATTTCTTACTGTTCATTTTTCTGAAATTCTGTATTGTTTCTACCTTTTTTTGTTTTTTTCTTTCTCTTTAAATAACAAAGTGTATTATCCACTTTCCATGTGTTTGTGGGGTTTCTGCAGTTTCTTTTATCACTAATTTCTAGTTGCATGGCGCTATGATCTGATAACATGCATGTGATAATTTCAACTTTTGCATTTACTTAAATCCTTATGTTCTGTGGACTAGTATATGATCTATTTTAGAGAATGTTCCATGTACTGCTGAGAATGTATATTCTGATGTTGTTGAATGGAATACTCTGTATACATCTATCAAGTTCAATTGTTCACAGGTGTAATTCAGCTCTGTTATTTCTTTGCTGATTTTCTATCTGGTTGATCTGCCCCTTCGTGTCAATAGTGTGTTAAGGTCTCCTGTTATAATTGTGTTATTGTTTACTTGATTTTTCACTCCTATTAATACTTGCTTTGTATAGCTGGGTGCTCTGGAATTTGGTGCATATATATTTAAGATTGTTATCTTTTCTTCTTGAAGTTTTCCTCTAACTAGTATGTAGTGATCTTCTTTATCTCTTTGGATCATTCTTGATTTGAAGTTCACATTGTCTGCAAACAGAACAGCTAGCCTTGCTTTTTTTTTGGTTTCTGTTGCAGGAAGTATGATTTTCCATCCTTTGACTTTCAGTCTATGAGTTTCCTTTTGGGTTATATGGGTTTCTTGTAGACAGCATATGGTTGGATGTTTCTTGATCCATTCTCCCAGTGTGTTTCTTTTAATTGGTGAATTGAGACCATTTACATTAATGGTTATAACTGTCTTATATTTGTTTATTGTTGAAATGTTATCTTTCTGCTGTTGCATCTTTATCTATTTGTCTGCCTTGCTTACTAGTTTTTTCCCTATGTATATCTAAACTGCTTTTCAGTATTCTTTGCAGGGTTGGTTTGGTGATCATGAAGTTCTTCAGCTGTTCTTTGTCATGGAAGTATCTTATTTCTCCATCCATTTTGAAGGACAGTTTTGTAGGGTACATCAATGTAGGTTGGAAATCATTTCACTTTAGGATCTGAAATACTTTGCTCCATGCACTTCTTGACTTCATTGCTTGTGTTGAGAAGTCTGCTGTGATTCTGATAGGTTTTCCTTTATAGGCAATCTGTCTTTTCTCTCTGATAGCTTTTAATATTTTATTTTTATGTTGGATTTCTGGGATGGTGATTATTATATGTCTGGGTGTAGTTTTATTTTGGTTATTGCTATTTGGAGTTCTATATGCTTCACTAATCTGAATGTTAGTTTCCATTCTCATGTTTGGGAAATTTTCAGCTATTACTTCTGTAAATAGCCTCTTGATATCATTTATGTTGTCCCCTTTTCATTTATCCCTATCAATCTTATGTTGTTGTTCTTTGAATCATCTTGCAGCTGTTGAATTATTATTTCCTGATTTCTTGTTATTTTTGAACGATCTTCCCTTTCCTGTTCACTAGCTGAAATCGTCTTCAAGGTCTGAAATTGTATCTTCATTTTTGTTGAGGCAGTTTTGACAACTTTCAATGGAATTTTCGACTTCCTGTATATCTTTTTGAATCTGCTTCATGTATTCCATTTGTTATATTGTTCATCCACGGATTCTATCTTTTTGCTTTGTTCCTCTAATTTTTTAATGTGTCTTCTTTAGATGTTCTCAGCATTTCTTTCATTTCTTTTATCATTTCTTCTTTTACCTGGGAGATTATTTCTAATTTGAATTCCTTTAAAGCTTCCCAGAGTTGCTTCTTTATTTCAGTTGCTATTATTTCAGGTATTTCAGGTGTACAGCATATCTTTTCTTCTATGTACATGGCTCCTAGGCTATCTTGGGATGGGCTGGAGGTTTGAGATTGTATTTTGGTCTTTCATCTTATCATTTTCCTATATTTCTGTGTTTCAAGTGATGTTCCAAAGCTTCCCCTGGGCACATTCGAAATTGCCTCGTATGTTCTCGGCTCCTGGGACTGAATGAAGGTTGCTAAGCATAGTCCAGTCAGGCCCACAGGACCTCACATGCCACCTCTGGTGTTCCAGGAAGCTGGGTGGGCTCCTAACTACTGTGGGTGATGGTCCAAGGCCCTCCCTGGGCTAGCACCAATGCCATGGAACTTACTTCACCTGCCCTTAACTCCCCTGATTGAAGGTCACTGGGCATGGTCTAGTTGGGTCTACAAAACCTCTGAAGCCTAGTCTAGTGTCCTGGAACCTGGGTGGGCACTTAACTGCTAGGAGGATGATGTTAAAGTCTCCTTGGGCCTGCACTGGTGTGTTGAAACTCACCTTGTGTAGCCTCAGTTCCCTGGATTGAAAGAAGGCCACTGGGCATGGCCCAGCCAGTCCGAGAAACCTGCAGAGCACAGTCTAGTGTGGCTGGAAGCTGGGCAGGTCCTTAACCATTCGGAGCCATGATCTTAAAGTCTCCCAGGGCCTGCACTGGTGTGCTGGAGCTCACCTCCAGCAGCTCAGTTCCAAAATTTAAATTTTTAAAAATCGTTTTTCTCTTTGAAATAAAATGGACTTCAAGAAAAAAAAAAAAACAAAAAAAAACTTTTCTTTTTGCAAGATGGGAACCTTGGCTAGCTAGCAGTAAGGATGTAAACATTGTTTTATAAGTTACTTGCAGTTTAAACTCAGGAAACATTTATTGATTAGTACCAATATGTAGAGCTGGGGATTTAGCTCAGCGGCATAAGCACCTGCCTTGTAAGCAGGAGGTCGTGAGTTCGATCCCTGGTACCGGTAAAAAATGAAAAAGACAAAAAAAAAAAAAAAAAAAAAGATTAGTACCAATATGTAAACTAACTAGCTAGATGTGCTACCCAACTTGCTTCCCAGCACTTTCTCTTCATCACACTAATCCCTCCACTAATAGTGGGTGTCGGGTGCATGCTGTAGCCTTACAGACGGGCAGACAGGGAAGCAAAGCCAAATCTCACTCAGTATGCCAATTTTCCAAACTATTAAATATGAAGAATCAAAAAGTAAAAAAAAAATTTTTTTTTTCACTGCCAGGGATTAAACTCAGGGACTCACACATTAGGCAAACGCTTTACCACTGAGCTGCATCACCAGCCCTTTGCTTTTTGAGACAAGGTCTCACTAAGTTGCCCAGGCTAGCCTTGAATTGGGATCCTCTCAATTCAACCTCCAGAGTAGGTATGATTTCAGGCCAAGGTAATTGTATATGAAAGACTGTACTGTAATCTGTCACATGGATTAGGTATAGAATTTCCCATAGTGGTGTTGTTAACACTTCAAAGTGTCAGACTCCGGAGCACTTCAGAATTTTAGATTAGGGATCCTGAACTTATATTTTTTATAATTACACAAAGGGATATTTTTAGGTGGGTTTACAGGATTGGAGACAGGAGAGTGCACAATGACCATCCTCACGCTGGTGAGGAGCCAGCAGCTGCTATGCCACAGATGGAGCTGCAGAGCCAGAGGGTGAGAATGCAGCCTTGGTCCCATATTAAGGCCTTGGGAGGCACTGAGTTGCAAGTGAGCCTCTGCTGAAGGGCTGCAGAAACTGGAGCCAGTGTCCGAAGGTCCCGAAGACCAGAGGTTTACCGAAACCAGCTTCAACCTATAGTTCTGCCTCCAGTGTGGTTGTGTCTAAAGGGACCAATGCATCAGTTGTTTTGATTGAATTTTTGAAGAGCTGGTTGAATGGATTTATTGGATCTTGGCCTTAGTTGACTAAATTGATTTTGCATTGCATTAACACTGTCATCTTGAGAGCAGACAGTTTTCTTTCTTTAAAGTCAATACAATTCAATTATTTTGATTTAATGTGTCACCCCTGTAGAGCTGTAATATTTCTAAACAGTAATGAAAATTTATGTGGAAAATATGGTATAATTTGGCAAAAAACTGTCAGATGTTGACACATAATATTGCATACATATCTTCAGTCAGTCCCATCCTTATGATTTTTCAGTTACAGTTCAGTACTCATCTTTGGGAAGCACTTTTTCCATTATTTAGCTTTTTTTTGGTACCAGGTATACTTGCTTGCCAAGTCAGGTGCTTATGTCACTGAGCTAAATCCTCAGCTCCATCATTTACTTTTCATACGATCATTTATTTCAAACAATAAATGGAAAAATACTTCCATTAATAACAATCTCTTACCATATTTAACTGCAGGGAGATATATTTTTTTCTCATCTACTTATATGTGTCAAAATTTCACCCCCAATGGTTATGTACCTAAGAGATGCATTATATTCCAGTCTCAAGGGTCAAAAATTAAGTTGTTTTCCCTACTGTAGCATCAATTAGATTTGGAACAGTAAATCATTCCACTTCCTAAAAGTAAAACAAGTAGTGAAAGTAAGGCATTCTATGTTCAAGTTCACCTGGGAATCTGATTAATTTCCCATCCTCAGATATTCATTCATTATTACTTCAATCATCTTCAAACTCATTTTAAAACTTTATTTAAGGACTAGGAGTTTAGCTGAACAGTTCAAGCACCTGCCAGGTAAGCACAAGGTCATGAGTTTGATCTCCAAAAGATAAAAACACAAAACTTTACTTAAGAGGCTGGGGATTTTGCTCAGTGGTGTAAGTGCCTGCTTGGCAAACTCAAGGTGGTGAGTTCGATCCTCAGTACCAAAAACAAACAAAAACCCCAAAAAACCTTTTTATAGAAATCAAACTTCATAAATCTTTTTTGTTATTAATTATACTAAATTATTTCAACTCTCTGATAATGGAATCTACTTTCAAAAAGTTCACTTTACTCAGAGCATCAGTTATTTCATTTCTAATTCTTTTTTTGAAATAGGCTCCTGCTATGTAGCCCAGGCTGGCCTTGTGTGTGGGTCCTCCTGCTTCAGCCACCTGAGTGCTGGGATTACAGGTGCACACCAGCATGCCTGGCTATCTCTGATTAATTTTGTCACACATATAAAGATAACCTATCTTACAGTAACAAGAGCAAGCTACATTAAAAAAAGAAACACCTCATACCCTGTTGCCTACATACCTAAATGAGAACACAGACACTTCCAATGCAGTAATGAACTGTTCATCCTATGTCTCTACTCTAGTAAAGCTTAAGATTTCCCCATCCATGTGTACTCTGCTCCTCACAGATATGTTTTGATTTTTAACACTTATTGCTCTCTTGGTATTTGTACCACGCATACTTTGAAGAGTATTAAACTTACGCTAGCCAGGCATGGTGGCACACATCTGTAATTCCAGCACTTGGGGCTGAGGAAAGTTTTCAGCCAGCTTCAGCTACATGATTTCAAAGCCAGACTGAACTACATGGCAAGATCCTCTCTCAAAAAATAAAAACAAAATAAAATCCAAAAAGAACATTAAAGTTATGCTTGAGACTGACCGATCTATTTCAGGAGAGGAAAAAACAGAGGTTGAACATCTCGGCAGTACCACTTTAGTACACGGGCAGCTGCAAAATCCTGAAGGCTTTCAAACATATACTCCACCAATGTATCTGAGGTACTGCTGTGCAAAATTCCCCTTATTTGCACGTTTAATTATTTTTGTGAAATATACATAATAAATAATGTATAGGCTGGCTTACACAAAAACAGCAACAACCCCCCTGAAAACAAAAACACAAAACAAAAATAGCAAAGTTTATTCAGGAATTACCCAAAGTTTTAAATGAATAAAATATCTGAATTTCTGTTTTCCACATTTAGTAAATTAATTTTTGGTTGTTTTAAGATGAAGCCAACTGGGCTGGGGATTTAGCTCAGTGGCATAAGCGCCTGCCTTGCAAGTGCGCAGTCGTGAGTTTGATCCCCAGTACCAATTAAAAAAAAAAAAAGATGAAGCCAACCTATTTTTCATGTATCCCCTACAACAAATTATATATTTTACTATTATATGTTTTAACATTTTAACTTTTTTATTTATTTTGGTCCAGAAATCAACCTCAGGACCTTGTGCTTGCCAGGCAGGCACTTGTACCACTGAGCTATATCCCTGGCCCATTTTAATTTTTTAAAAGTAAAATAAAACTTTCATTTCCCTAAAACATAAAACAGAAATCAGTTGGTAAGTTTAAACATAATGGCTAATTAATGGTCCCATAAACACAAGTTTAGTCTAGTAATAAAATTCATTCATAAGCCAGGTATTTAATCTATATTACTTCTCTCACGTTTACTAAATTGCTCTGTGTACTTAGCCATAAACTGGAATTTCCTGAAAATGCTTGGTTTTGCTTCAGGATTCACTGGCCTACCTGAACTCTGGTCATGTTTTTCCATTGTGTCACAGCTGACAATAAACTGAAAAATGTTTGTCAGACTTATAACAATTCATGTTGGACGTTCAGCTTTTGAACAAAATACAAAACAATACAGACTCTACCAGACCATAAAAGTCAATCTGTAATGAAGCATTCCCAAGACAGTCTCAGGTGGGAAGTTTCCAGAACATACATGAAAATGCAGACAGGATAAGAACATGTAATGCAAGAAAAGTGTTGTGCATTTCAGTGACTAGCAAGCAACTCTTTTATGTATTTATCAGCAATTTGAGGCAGACATAAAGAAGAAAACATGGAGAATGATGCTTATTCAGAAACATTTCAATGTATCCACAGTGCAGTCAGAATACATAGTTCTATATATTATGAACAACTGCTCATTGATATTTCCATTTATTTCACTTTCAATAATAAAACTTTTTTCTTACATGATTAACAGTTTGCTTTAAAATTAACAGTCACAATTGAAGAAACAGTGGCTTATCATTCTAATGAAGTGACCAAGCTGCTGAATCTTAAGGCCTCAACAAATGTACATCTTATTATTTTCACTGAACAATAAGACCTTTCATTGTGATTATTCCTGGTGAGCAGCAATTTTTTCTTTCCAGTGGTTTCCACTGCCAAATAGGTATGACAGATGGATTCACACGGTTCCCCAGTGCTTCCAGACATTCCACAGATGGGTCCTTATTCCCCTGCAACAGCTACAGCAGCCACCACTCAAAGTCCCATCTGCCAGGACTTCTATCGCGGCTGCCCAAGAAGTCCAGCTTTAGCTGCCAGGGCTTCATTCTGCTGAATATGGTATTCCTGAAATCTCATGGATATTCTTTGTGTCATTTTTAAATATTTCTGTAAGCAATGTTCTGAACAGGTGATCTGGAAATAAAAAGGAGAAGTCCAAGAGGCAACACAAAAATACCAACTTTTAAAAATGAATGTATTTCAAAAGAACCACCAGTAAGAACTTTGCTATTCTTCGACCACCTCTTCAAGCTACATGGCATTAACAGGTAACAAACGACCACAGGAATTAATATATATCAAATGCCTACTATCCTCAGGCACTGGGAGCAATGGTAGCCTGACTTCATGAACCTTATGAACTATACTTTCTGCAGGTGTGTTTCAACATGAACTGAGAGCCCACAACCTTATCCTCTACTTGAACTGTTAAAATGTACACGCAGTAGCAGGTGGATTCCCTTTTACTTTTCAATGAGAGTACTACACTTAGCATCTATTCTAGACTTCGAGAGGCGCTCAACAGGTATGTACATAGTAACTGCTGCTTATATGCTCAGCATGACCAGCTTCTGCCACTGGAGGACACTGATGTCATTTTGGGCAAATTCTGATAAGACTGCTGAAAGTGAAGACTGCTGAAAGGATTGTTTCAGAGCCCATCTATGCAATATAAACATCACATACAAGCTTTACTTTCTCCATAGTCAACCTCAATTCTCAGGGACACAGAAAGGCTGCGTCAAGTTTTTCTATCTAGATTATCTTGACTTAATGGTAATTACTAAGAATCTTTGCTGTGAAACAGCAACTCAGCAGTCCTAGGCATCTTTCCTAGAAAAGTCTGGCTTGGGAGAAGTAAGCTTGGCATCATTAAACTCAATGCCATGATCACTGGCTGACTCGGGTCCCCCAAGCAAAAATGCACAAAAGGCAGCCAAAAATCCTGTAGCAAGTAGGAACAATGAAGCACTTAGTGGAGCCTGTGGTTTATGATAAGCTTGGAGAAGTTTTAGTGAGCAACACTTTTCATACCTCTTCAGGCTTTACTTCTCTTGTTGTGAAGTCTTTAACGCAGTCCAAAAAGCAGGTTTCTGTAAGTTTATTGTAGGTTCCCAGGAATTCCCTAAACTAAATAAACAAATAAATCAAAGTTCATTTAATATTCAAGTTTTGACAATGAAGGGTATTTTGAAACTAGTGATTCTTTGTATTATTACGGCACTTGAAATCAGATTCTTGTTTAACTTAAATAGACATAATATGAACTATAAAATACAGTCTTACTTTCTGTTTGTTTATTCCATTATTAGTCAAATTAGAAATATATCAGAGGTGAGGTGTGATGGAATGTGCCTGTCATCTTAGCTACGTAAGAGGCTGAGGAGGGAAATCAATTGAGCCCAGGAGTCTGAAAATAGCCTGGGCAGCATAACAAGACTCCACCTCAAAAATAACAAAAAATATGCTTCGTATCACTTAATATCCACTTTTGGAAGTGAAATGTAAACATTTATTTTGTGAGATCACCAGCTGACAAGGATGCAGCCCATAGTGTCTTCTACTTTTTGCAAAATCCTTTTATCTTAATTACAATACCTTACCTGTTTTATCTGATCAGATTCTGATATCTGTGCAGCCATATTCTTTTGGTATATTTATGAGTCACCTGATTAAAAAATTTTAAAAAATTGTCAATAGATAAACAAAATTATTAGGCTAGTTGAACAATTAGTCATTGTTTATATTTTATAAATTTGTAACTGTATATAATTATATAACATTGTATCTCCAAGATGATCAATAGCAACAGAATCTTATGATTTATGTAAAATAGTCTAATATTAGATATGGGCTTGAGAGGCCTTGTCGTATTTGAAACACCAGAGTTTTTTTTTTTTTTTTTTTTGTCTTTTTCATTTTTATCGGTACTGGGGATTGAACTCACGACCGCCTGCTTGCAAGGCAGGTGCTTATGCCGCTGAGCTAAATCCCCAACCCCTACACCAGAGTTTTTTAAAAAGATAAGTTGCTTTACTGTTTGTTAAAAACATCACTTGTTAAAGCAAACTATAAATTTCTTGAGTTAACGATTTCACTGGTTGCTGATTTAACACTGATTTGTGCTTTTTGTTGATCTGTGGTGCTAATCTTTTTACTATCTATATAAAGGCAACATTTCTGCCATTAATGAAACACTATTTAAGTCAACAGTATTTATGAAATATATTCAGAATTCTAGAAGATTCTAAAAGAAAGTCACAGGAGTTACAAATTCTACAGTTCAAAAGGGCAATCACAGAGACTTACCAGAAACTTCTGAACATATGAGCCTAGTGATCTAACTTGGGGGCCACAGAGAAGGAAGACAAGATAGTGAAAAAAATCTTTTCTAAATTACTGAGATTTACACATACTCTAAATGTAGGACTCAAGTTAATCCAGACATAAGGGTACCACATTTCTTACTTAGTCTATCTTGACTAGTTTTAAAAACGCTGAATATCTCATACAAAAGGTTTATATAAAATAAAGCTGATTAAAATAGAAATTGAACAGTATGTAAAAGGAAGGATATGCAAACACCAGTCATATACACTACAGAGTAATATAAATGCTATGTTTCATATTTAATTTTGAGTTTCCTTTCTGGCAAGATAGCAAAGTAGGCCTCGCTGAGATTCGGCCAGTGACGAGGCTAAACAGCGCAGTGGAGGCCCTGCAGGGAGCAGGAACTGGTTCCCGCCAGGGAAGTAATCATAGCTGAAAGTTCCCCAAATCTGGCATAAGACGTAAACCTACAAATTCAGGAAGCTGAGTGAGGCCCAAATAGCATAAATCCAATGAAATTCAAGTCAATATACATTACTGAAGAAAAACTTTGGAAGCAGTAAATGAAAACATCATACTATATAGAGGAAAAACAAGATTTCTCATCATCCTTCTAGCGAGGCCAGAAGGAAGTGGTCTAAAATTTTTAAGTGCTAGGAATGGTCAATACAGAAATATTGTGTTAGTGAAAAAGACCCTTCGGGAGTGATGGGGAAATTGTGACATTCTCAAATAAAGGAAAACTTAAGAAAATTTGATGCCCACAGATCTACCTAAAATAATGGTTAAGGTGTTTAAAAAGAAAATATAAATAGAATTGTGGACTATCACAGAGGAAAAACTGTTATCTCTTGAGGATAATACAGTTACTCTGTAAAACAGTTAAAGTCATTCTTAGTTTCTTAAGAATGTAGATATAGCCAGGAAAGTGGCTCAGTGGCAAGCACCTGCCTCGCAAGCGCAAAGTCCTGAGTAAAACGAATGAAAATAGACATCTATCATGTGATCCAACAATTCCACTTCTAGGTATTTTCCCTAGAAAAATGAAAACTGATGTTCATAAAAGTTACAGTTTATAGGAACTAGTTTATATAAACTACGTTTATATTTATTCATAATGGTACAAAAAACTAGAAACAACTCAATGTTCTTTGTGCAAATATGGCTAAACCAGCCGCTCTATCTATTCCATGGAGTACTACTGAGGAATAAAAATACCAAGATACCAATACAGAAACAGCCTGGAGAATTGTGCTTAGTATGTATGCTAAAAGGTTACACACTGTATGATTCTATTTATGTAACATTCTTGAAATAGTAAAAGACTTAAAGAGATAGAGGACATATTGGTAGTTGTCAGTGATAAAGGAGGGGTAGGAGTAGGAGGGAAGTAGGTGTCCCTATAAAGGCAACATGAGGGCCTTTGTAATGGAAATGTCCTATATGGTGACTGCATCAATTTCCATAGCCTGAATGTGATACTGTACTCTAGTTTTATAAGATGTTACCACTGTGGAAAACTACGTAAAGGGCACAAGATCTCTACTATTTTACAACTAAACATGAATCCATAATAATTTCAAAATAAATTTTTTTTGATCTTTTGAGACAGGGTCTTGCCATGCAGTTCTGGCTGGTCTCAAGCTTACTTTGCAGACCAAATGATCTGCAAATGATCCTTCTGCCTCTGCCTCCCAAATGCTGGCATTACAGGCATGCATCACCATGCCCAGCATAATAAAAAGTTTAATGAATGAGAAAAATGAGGTCACTCAACATTCTAATTGTCCTGGAAAACAAGGGGCAGCATGTTAAGTGCTGTTAGCAAGAATTCCATAGTATAATTATTTTGTCTGATAATATCTAGTAGTCTGATAATTCCATGTACAGTATCTTATCAGTTACTAGATATTAAGTATTGAATGAAATCATCATTTTGTTGGAACTTCAGAAATACAAGGCCAAGCTGGGCACAGCAGCTCAGGCCTATAACCCTAATACTCGGAAGGCTAAGGTAGGAGGCTCTCCAACTGAGGGCAGCTAGAAATACACAGCAATACCCTACCAAAAGAAAACAAAAGACAAAAACAAGAGCAAAGCAATCAATAAAACATGCACTAAAGGGGCTGGGGATTTAGCTCAGCGGCATAAGCGCCTGCCTTGCAAGCAGGCAGTCCTGAGTTCCATCCCTGGTACCGAGAAAAATGAAAAAAACCAAACCAAAACAAAACAAAACAAAACCAAAAACAAAAACAAAAACACACATGCACTACGACTTAGGCATGGTGGTGCACACCTGTAATCCCACCATGTGGGAGGTTGAGACAGGAGGATCGTTGCAAGATCAACACTAGCCCGGGCTATAAAGTGAGTTCAAGGCCAATCTGAACTAAGTGAGACCCTATCTCAAAAAGACAAAAAACAAAACAAACAAACAACAAAGCAGAAACATGTACTAAGCAATGTGGTTTGCCAGCAGGCTTCTTACCTCAAAGTGTAAAAAGGTCATTCACTAGAACTGAGCCCTTTGAATTGCTGAACTAGGACAGTGTACTCCCTGTAACCTCAGGGATACCAACAAACTAGGCTTTCTACAATTCATATCCTAAAAGAAAACATCTGATTTCCTTACTGAAAACCTTATAAATGGGTGGAGATATAGATTAGTGTCACAGTGCCTGCCTGGGAAGTGCAAGGTCCTGACTCCTAGTATCAAGAAAAGAAAGGAGGAAATAAAGGAAAATAACCAAAACAAACCAACATATCTTAGAAATTTAGACAGTGACCAATTGTAATGCCCAAATCTGGTTCCCTTTTTCCCATTCTCATCCTTGTCTCTCTTCAGGTAAAAATTAATATATGATTTTTTGAGCCAGAGATTAAAGAGGCAGAAAGTATGAAATCTTTAGATGTTCTGTAAATTTTTTACTGGGGAACTGCACTGTTTCAATCCTTTCTTTACACTTTGACACAAATCATGGTGACAAATGAGTGTAGTTACTGGGAAGACATAGGACATGAGGACTGCCCCAGTGGTACTGGTATGAATTTTTTTATTTAAAATTATTCCCTTGGTATTACATTCCTTAAACAGTCTTCTAAGAATTCTATCTATGGAGAACTTGGAAAATAAAAGATAAATATTTCTACTAAAGGCCATTGTTAACTTTATTTTTTCTCTGGAATCATTTATATATTCATTCAGATATTTCCTAGATGTATACTTGAACTTAATAGCTAATAGCAGCACTTGTTTTAAATATTTGAGACAGGGTCTCACTGTATAGTTCATGCTGGTCTTAAACTTACTATGTAGCCAGGCCTAGAACTTGCAGTTCTCTTGTCTCGGCATCTTGTGTGCTCAGATCACCCAGCTCTAGTGCTTCTCTCTAATTTGCCTAAATCTCATTATTCCCTAGTCAACACTATTAAGATTATGGCATACATAATTATAGACAGAAAATACTGGAGATAAGTGAGTGATTTTCAGATTTGATAGGTTTTAGGTCTTCTAAATATTTCATCATTCATTTTGCAGTTATTCATTTATTTTTGAGACAGGGTCTTGCTATGTAGCCCAGACTGGCCTCAAACTTGAAGTGATCTTTTTGCTTCAGCCAAGAACTGGGATTATGGGTGTGTGCTACTATGCTTGGCAATTTGCAGTTATTTAATCAAAAATTATGCAAAGTTCAACAACCACATAAAACGCCTGATGGTGAGAACAGCCAGGTAGTTGTCCTTTCACGTAAACCTAGTTTCCAGACATTGCAACAAATGTATTATAGAAGCAAATATCCAATCAGGTGCCACCTTCTGGTTAAATACCTGAAACCTGGAAAGAGGAGAGAGAATTCTAGAAGCCCTGGCTTAGTTCTTGGGAAAAATCACAACAGAGCTAAGTGATTTTTGTGCCAAACAGTAAATAGTATGTGACAGAACCTAAGAGTACGAGGGGATTTTGAGTACGAGGGGATTTTATCAGTTGTGATGCACAAACCTTTTCTGAAGCATGAGTTTCCTGGTTCTTGAGAAGTAGTTCTCCAACCTCTGCTCAGGGTTTCCAGTGAGGCCTGATTTCTCACCTGAAAAACGAGGGTGTCAGAATATGATTGCATGCCTTCAAGCTCTTTTTGATACCTAAACTTCTGCTGTATTCTTTTTTGAGACAGGGTCTTGTTATGTATCCCAGACAGGCCCGAAACTCATGTCAATCCTCCTGCCTCAACGTCCCCAGCACTAGGATTAGCATGTGCTACCATGCCTGACCTGGCTAAATTAGGTTTTAAAAAACATCTTCTTTTTTATCATTCAATTGAAGACCAGTCAGGTTTCTTCCCTGTGGAGGTGCTTGGGATGAAACCCAGTGCAATGTGCACGCCAGGCAAGTCCTCTACACTGAGCTCCAGTCCCCACCACCTTGTTAACAAGATTACTTTCCTCCATTCTAAAGTTACAGTTCTTTAGTGTATGTATTATTCTTGAAAAAATACTTATATAATGCCATATATTATTCTTCTAATAATTACGGATAGTTCAGAAATATTAAGAAATTTTATACAGATAGTCACTAAACAGCTGGAGCCTAACGTGTCATACTTCAAAATCCTTTTCTCCATCATACCCATAGCTTCCTGAAGTATTTTATAGGTGGAAATATTATTTTGAATACCATCTATATAAAAATTCCTCATATGTCAAAAAGTTACAAGCTCTTTTTTTTTCCCAGCAATTCTAAAACGCTGATTTTTGTTACTTTTTCCAAATGTACTGTCTTCTGGAATGCATCTAGTTCCTTCCCTACACTTCAACTTCCTTTTCATGAAGAAAATTCTTTTACTGAAGAAGAACAAAAGAGCTAGCAAAGTCTTTTGTAAGCTCAGTATAGACAAATGGCAATCTTGTGATTTAGGCAAAAATCATACATGAATCAACTATAAAACTAGCGATGCACTGTTATGGGGCAGTGCATATTCATTACCTTAAGTACTATCTCAGCAGGTCACTTATTGTAGAAAGTAAACTATCCCATTACACTGGAAACATGGGACAGTCACTACAAGCATCTCATAACAAGTCCCACCATTAGATATTTCATGGTGGGACTGGCTCCGATCAAGATGGAATAACTCAGAAAATTCAGTGTTAGATATTTTAAAGACAACTTGGCTGGTCTTTAAAAAAAAAATCTCATAAAGAAAGAGGATTGAGATAGATTGAGACTAAAGAGTAATGACAAGAAACGCAACGTAAACTTGACTGGATCCTGAATCAAGATAGATTAAGATTAAAAAAAAAAAAAAACACTGGGGAATGGAATACATTTAAGTATGTTGTCTTTAGTATGATGATCTTATCGAGGTTGTGTAACAGAATGTCCTTAAGGACACACATGCCAAAAAACTAGGGTTAAAGTTTATTGTGTCTGCAACTTACTTGTAAATAGTTCAGCCAAAAGAAGTATCTATAGATGTGTTATGTAAAGAGTGGGACAAAAGGAAAGAGAAAACAAACACACATGAAAGGAAAAACACCTTCAGCCACGTTTTTTGTTTCACAGCTAATGCCTTTTATTTTAGAGGTAAATGTCTAAATCCATCTTTACTAATTTGCTTAATATTACAATAAAGGACTCGATCACATGTAGACTATTTACAGAAGGTGTAGAAAATTAGGATTAGGGTTGTCTGACTCAGTGACAACTGTTACTGTCAACCAGTTACTTCAGTTTGCTTTCATGATGAAAGGCTGGCTTCAAGGTATAAAAAATGAGCCTATTAGCCCATAGGCTGGGGAAAAGATTACTAGAGTTTTTACTTCAGCTTTGGTATTAGAGGTATTGTAAGGTTATTCATTCAAGCCATTTCAGAGTGCTTACACTCAGACCTTAAAGAAGAAAGGTCACTTTTTTTCTTTCACATCAAGCTTCACCTAGAAATTATAGACGTCATCTCTGAGATCTCTTGCACCTCTGCCGTTGTTAATCTCTCTGGTAATATTTACAGAAATTATAAAGATACTATACCCTAACAGACCAATAACGAAGATGAAAATATAAGCGACACTGAAAAGTAATGATTATTAATTATAGAAATTCGTCAAGTCCTATTTACCCCCACACAAAAAATTACAAAGTTCTCCAAAGAAGGGCCCTCTAGATCTCTTTTTGAGACTTCTATGAAAGCAGACAATGAGATGTAAAAGAAAACATTTTAGCTCTGATTAATTTTCCAGTCTCCACAAGGCGTTAAGGGAGGACTGACCCTGAACCCGAACCGATCCGGGCCGGCGTGTGCTCCGGGAGTGAGCAAGCCTCCGAGTCCAGGAGGGCTCTTTTCGTTACAGCCCGAGGCCACGCGCCCCAAAGACGACCCCGATTCCCCGGTCCGACCCCTACCCTCGCGCCGCTCCGGGTCTCTGGTGCCGCGGCCCCCACACCCGGGACGCGAGGCTCAGACCCCGCTGCCCTCCGCCCGGGAACCCAGGTGCGAGGACAGAAAAGGGGACCATACCCAGTCACCGGCTTTCGCGGCTGGGGGCAGCGCCACTGTCGGGGACGCCAGCGGGCGAGAGGTCGGGATTAAGGCGGACGCCGGAGCCGAAGGACTGCAGAGAACACGTGGGAGCGGCAATGTCAACCAGTACTTAAACCTGTGACGCCGATTCGTTATAACGCGGGCAAATCTAGGAAGAAAGGCCAGTACTGTACCATGGGTGAATTAAAAAATTTCCTAAGAATTAACACCTTTCATTTTCTGTTTAGACAATACTCTCTACACAACTTCCTCTTCGAAAGAGGCGAATCTGTCAAAGTTTTTTGGAAGCCTACTTTACTTAATCCCATGTCCCTAACGGTCTTCTGGAGCTACTGTTTAGTCCCTAATAAACACAAGTAGTATTACCAGCCAGAGTGGGCGCTCTGCAGTTCTCAATGACTCCCTCGTGTTTTATCCAGTGTTTCAGTATTGTAGAGCGATGTGCTGCCTTTAAAGTAAAAAATCCGCATTTGTCGAAAGCCTTTTGCTTCGGGCGTTTGTTTCCACCCGGAGAAGGATGGGAGAGCGCCTCAGCGTACTTGCTTTTTAGTTGGATGTTTCGGGTGCCTTTCTGCGCACGCATGCGTGTTGTGCCTCAGGGGCGGGCTTTAGGGAAGCAGGTCTTAGCCGCGGGCTGCGAAAGCTGTAGTTTGAGGAGGCTCTTGAGCCGTGTTTGAGACTCTGTGGGTGAAGAAAACTGTTGTGATTTAGGTGATGTTTTAAAAACAGCCTTTCGATTTTACCTGCTTGACTGCGTCTTCTCAAGAGAATTTCACCCCGCCTCCACTTCTGCTGGTTCAGCGCTGCCGGCCCTCGGTTGCAGGAGCGCGTCGCTATTGTTGCTTCAGTGGCCGTTTTTCTGCTGTCCTTTGCAGATTTCGACTCAGTAGGATTAATGGCGAAATTGAGCTGAACATCTTTACTCCTGGGTCAAATACCAAAATTTAAACTTCCAGCTTTGTGGAATTTTCATTCCCATTTCTCATATTCTTTTATCGGGTTCTACTGTTTTGCTTTTCTACTCCCTTGGCCCTCGAAGAGATGACTATTTCATTCTGAAGTCTTAGGGACCCAGAAGAAATTCTTCCATTCAGAACCTTGGGACTATTTGTTACTCACAGTATGAAAGGCTCGGAAGTGAGCCTGAAAAAGCAAAACAGGCTTAAAATGCCAGCGAGGAGACTTCGTGAGGTCGTTTCTCCAAATCAGGGAAATAATATAGCTTTGCTGAAGGGTGAGTTGCCCTGTGTTCCTCCAGCGCTGCCTGCAAATAAACGTCTTCCCGTTCGAATGGGGACGAGCATCAGTGGAACATTACCTGGTATGTGATTCTATGCATTGCCGCTTTCCAGCCAGTTTTTATTTTTATTTTTTCCTTTTTTATCAGTACCGGGGATCGAACTCACGACCGCCTGCTTGAAAGGCAGTTACTTATGCCGCTGAGTTAAATCCCCAGCCCCCTCAGTTTTTATTTTTGTAAATCTTTGATTCTTTTTTATTTTTATTTTTTTGTACCGGGCATCGAACTAACGACCGCGCGCCTGCATTATGCCGCTGAGCTAAATCCCCGGCCAAATTAGAAGATTCTTAATGTGTAAATTCCCAAATAAGTGTAAGATATGAGTCCGATTTATATCGATGTTTGAAACGGGACCTGTTCCCTGGGGAAATCGCCCTGCACAGGCTGCAAAATGTTGGAATGGATCGATTGAAACTTTCATTTTTCCTTTGTGCTTTCTCTGTGTATTTTGCACTTTGTGCTTGTTCACACTTATGATGGCACACTTACCTTGTATAATATGGTTAGTTATAATGTGGTTTATGGTCGTGTTTCTTTTTTTTTTTTTAACCAAGTGCTCTGCATTTTTGGATAGGCCTATCCATTTTGGATAGCAGAAAAGCACAAATTTTAAGTCATTTGGTGGTTTCTATATTCCAGTTCACTTATCCCCACTGGAGCACAATGAAAATGAAGATAACATACCTATTACTGCCTTTCCTAATTTGAAGGATCAAATTAACGAATAGTGATATAAAAACAGCCAAATGCTTTTATTTAGGTTTGTTTTTTTTTTTTGGAGGTACAAAAGTGACACTATAATATGCCTGTGGTTAAATTAGGTGTTTATGTCATATACATATTTTTTCCTTATAAATTCTGTAGTTTGTCCACGTCTAATAGTGAGCTGACTATATGTATATATGTATATATATATATATATATATATATATATATATAGTGAGCTGACTATATATATGTATGTATTTTATTTTGATCGTTTTTTGAGACAAATCTCACTCTAGTTCAGGTTGGCCTTGAACTCACTGTATAGCACAGACTGGCCTGGACCTCGGAGTTATCCTCTTGATTACAGGCATTACCACCACCTTCAACTTGTGAACTGGTATATTTTAAAACATTTTATGCTTTGCTTCCTTTGCTCAATACTGATTATTTTTTCAAAATATTAATTGCAAAACTTCATTGGCATATATTTAAATACATTTTCTTAAATTATTTGCATCTAAAGTGTGTTAGGTTTCAAATTAATGCAGATGTGTAGTTCTTGAGTCATGTTCATGTATTTTCTAAAGGTTAAGGTTCTGTTTTAAAAAACTCATATTGATTTCTTTGCTAGGTTCATCAGATTTACCTTCTGCTGGAAATTATCAGCCTCTGTTAGAAAATCCCACTGCATCTGAAAGTGTAAGCAAAAGAATTCTTTTTTTTTTTACTGTATAAAATGGAAAGAGAAACTTGGATGGGCTGGATTTTATCTTTAAAGAGTGAAAGATTGTCGTATTAAAGATTCACGTTTATTCTGAGAAGCCTCAGAGGGAGACTAGAAGAACAGATTGTTGGGTGGATGGGGATACTTTTGATTTTATTTATTTATTTTTTTAATTTTATTTAAGGAGAATAGAAAAAAAAAGCAGAGAAAGGGTACAAGTTATACAGATTTACAGAAAAAAAATAAACAGTAGGAAATCACTAGTTAATGGATTACATATTGTCATCTTAGAAATAATTGTTCAAGTCACAAAATTAAAGCTTGTAAAGTGGACATTCCAACAATGATACTGCAAACAGTTCTGTTCAATGATCCAATAAAACTCTGTGTAATTATTTCCTATCTTATACACTTAAATATACATGCAGTTATATAGTTTAGAGCACTTTCTTTTCCTCTCTTTTGTACAATGACTATTACACATTTTGGGTCTCATTGCTCCCACGGTTCTTATTACTTTTTTGGAAGAGAGTAGAGCCAAATGTGACGTAACAGAACAGAATCGGTCAAGTCAAAAGGGTGGACATAATAGATAATGTAAAAACATAATACAAGGTGATCAACAATGGTTACCATAATGCCTCCCGCTATCTCTAATAGAATTGCCTATATCATTAGTTATAATACGATTGAACAAAACAGTAAAGAATAAAACCGACAAAACCAAAGCATTGGAGACATTGTAGGTCTTCAAAAGTAGATAAAAGTCAACGAGAATGGGCGTTATAATGAATCTCATTATCTTCACAGCTGATGCCTAAACTTTCGAACCTGATACTATCCAGCAAAACAGAATAGGGGAACATCAGTCAAAAACAAGATGGTGAGAGTAATACAGGGCTTTAAATTGAGATAATGGAAAGTCAAAGTGGGTTACTATAATATATCCTGCTATTTTTTTCCTTTAATTAAAAGGATAAAAATAAAAAAGTAAATAATGGAGTGGAGATTGAGATAAAAGAGGGCATAACAGCAAAACAGTGCAGATCAAAACATAACCATTTAAGCAGAATAGTGTTTCACCACCAGGTAATCCTGACCTAAAAGTAGTTACCATATTGTCTCTTTCCTTGAAATCCTTGAGTACAAATTCATATACTGTAGCATTAAGTATATCAAAACAATGTAAAACCATTTAAGAGCATGACAGCATTACAGAGTATTTAGAATCGACTAACAGAAAATGAACAATGGTTTCTGTATAATCTCCTTGTCTTTAAAGGGTTTTTGCTTATACTATTGTCCATAATAAAAACCAATAAGATACAACCTATTTAGACCATTGGAGACAGAAGAACAAAAGCTAGATGAGACTTCAAAACAAGATGATACTAAATCAGTATTACCTATTAAGATGTCATTTTCTCCAAGTTAGCTATTCCTATCATCCAATCTTCTCTGCCTCATTTCTGTTGAGCTCTTTTTCTGTCAGTAGCTATCAGTTTATCTTCTTCATTTTGTTCTCTGCTCCATTCATTGTGGCCTCCCGCCACTATTTCTGGATTCTTTGTATTTTTCTTTTTTTAGAATATCCTGCAAAACTCTCTGTAGAGTTGAATTGGTGGTTGCAAATTCCCCCAGTTCTTCTTTATCCTGGAAGCACCTTGTTTTTCCATCAATTTCCAGGGACAGTTGTGCAGGATATCTCAATCTTGGCTGGAGATTATTATCTTTCAAAGCTTGAATTATTTCCCCCCACGCTCTTCGTGATTTGATGGTTTGTGCAGAGAAATCTGCTGTAATTCTGATGGGTCTTCCCTTGTAAGTGGTCTGTTTCTTGTCTCTGACAGCTTTCAATATTCTGTTCTTGTATTGAATTTCTGGAATTTTTATTATTATATGCCTGGGTGTTGCTCTGTTTGGGTTGTAGGTAGCTGGGGTCCTGTATGCCTCGTACATCTGAGTGTCTTTACCTTTTGCTAAATTAGGAAAATTCTCCTGGATTATTTCTGTGAGTAGCTTTTGTATTTCACTTGTTTGTGTCCCTACTTCTTCTTTTATGTTCTTAATCCTTAAGTTATGGATCCTCTTATCATCTTCTATTCTTTGTATTATTGCTGTTTGTTTCTTTGTTATTTTTAAGAAGTTTTTCATTTCATTCTCCCATATTACAAGTCTGCCCTCCAGTTCAGATAGTCTGTCCTTAGTTTCTTTCAAGCTGTTATGCCAGTCTTCTATAGACTTCTTAGTATCTTGGTAGTCCCTTTGAACCTGCTTCACGTATTCTATGCTTTCTCTGTTTTCTCCATCAAACAATTCTCCCCTCTTTTTCTGTTCTTCCATTCCACCATCTGTTTTTTCTTGGGTGGTGCTTAGCATTTCTCTAACTATTCTGCATACTTCTAGCTTCAGGTCATTGATAACTTCATTCCTGAATTGGTCTATGAGGCTCTCTATATGGTGCTTTATGTCTATTGGTGTGGTGTCCGCGATTGCCTTTTTCTCAGAATTGGGAGCCGAGGAGCCTTTCTTGTTGCTGCCTTTTCCCATATTCTCTGTTCCTTATGTATGCAAGCTTACATAGGAGGCCCAGCTTCCCTCCCTGTCAGCCACAGCCTGATCGAATTGCACTGGCTAGGTGTTCCCGCCCACCGCAGCGCACCAGGGAGTTACGGCCTAGGCAGCCTACGCGGGAGTCGCCCCTCTGGGCCACCGTCAGGCTCTGGGATCTGGGTTGGGACAGCCTACTGAGTCCGCCAGCAGCGTCATGCAGGCCAGGCACTTTTCACCAATCCCGTCCGAGAGGGGAATGTGTGGCTGGAGTCGCCACTGCGTCCTGCTTCCGCAGGACTGCCCGAGCCCAGAAAGTCCTCCGCTGGAGTCAAACTGTGATAGTGTCAGTTTCTCTCACTCACCTCACCACAAGTCAGTGTACGCCTCCCTGGCCATCCTGTTTTCGACTCCGTTCGCAGACTCCCATTCTCAGAGTTTCTGCGCGTCTCTCTCCTTGCCGAGCTGATGTAGAGGCAGCCAGCTGCGGCGCAGCGGGAAACCCAAATCGCGGCTTCCAATGGCGCAGAGTCCAGCCTCCACACTGAGGCTTTTCTGTTCCTGCTTTAGCACCAGGACTGCATTCCAAGTTGGTTTCTCTCAGCCCAGTTTGTTCCTGAGTCAGCAGAGCATATCTCTACCGGCTTATGTCCCCTTACTCCGCACCCTTCCTGACTTCTGAACCAAGCCTTTCAGAGAGCCTCCGTAGCATCTGTTATCTGTCCGCCATGTTCTCCCGGAAGTCCAGCAAAAGAATTCTTAAGTGTTATATTAAAACTGTCAGTATTGAGTGTATTAAATTATATTTGATTAGCAGTGTCCTGTTTTTATTCAGATATTAAATACAAAATTTTTAAATGATATGATTGTGACTCGAGTAGTATTTGAGACATCAAATATAGCTACTATATTATTAGTTCCATTGAGTATGTTTTAGAAAGTTATCATCTATCATCAGCAGATAACTGAGCAGTTTCCTTTTAGGATTTTTTTCTTTTCCTTTTCTGATTGAGCAGAAAGAAAAGAAAAGGCAAAGAACACTGAATGTATCTAGTACTTTACAGTTCACACTGACTTTTAATGTCTCAAATGAAGCCTAGGGTTGCACACTTTTAGCAGAAAGCTATATGCCTATCAGTGACCCTTTTGTTGGCTTTCTCAGACCATGTGTGCTTAATGATTGAGAGTGCTGTGATTCATTTACAACACTGTACTATGCATTGACCATCCTTATCCACTGTCATGCAGAAAGAGCTGGGTTTTCACATGTAACTGAAATAGCTGACATGTTAAGTGATTTGTTTTGCTGCAAGTGGTAAATCAGGATTTGAGTTTGAATCACAGTACCATATTGGCTTGCTTGCTCGTTTACTCACTTGTCTGACAGCTTATATCTCACTGAACGTGTCTTTGAGTAACTTTAAGGTACCTACATGTGGTATAGTGCTGGGGCTGAGGTAAATAAAATATGTAATCCTGTCTTCCCAGAGCACAGTCATCACATTACTGGAAATGGTATTTTTTAAAAAATTAGTTCTTACTTAATTCTAGAACATTTGACAGTTCTTGCCTTAACAGTTTAAAAAACCATACAGAAAACTCCATAATTCATACAATAGGCCAAAAGTTTCATACTTTTTTTTTTTTTTTGTCTTTTTGAGACAGGGTTTTACTATGCAGGCTGGCCTCCAACTGCCTCAGTCTCCTGAGTGCTAGGATTACAGGCCTTACCACCACACCTGGCAAGTTTCATCCTATTTTGAAGTTTGCTCATCTGATCTATAATAGTATAGTTCTGCTATTTATACTACACTAATGAAATCTAACGTTTACATTCTAAAAATTATCCAGTTGTAACTAAATATATTTTCTATGAAGTTATTTCTGAGAATGTTATTTTTCAGAATGTGAGAATATATGTTTGTGTATATTTATAATCTTGTGAATTTGGTATTTCATTATATTTAGAAAAATTTTTTTCTTTTTTTCCTTTTGGTGTTTTGAGATAGGATCTTGCTTTAGCTTAAGCTGACTTTGAATTCACTGTGTATCCCATGCTGGCATCTATCTCACAGCAATCCTCCTGCCTCAGCCTCCCAAATAGTAGGGTTACAGATATGCAGCATAACACCCAGCAAAATTGTGTACAATCTTGTGATAATATAGTTCTTTTCCAGATTTAAAAAGTATGTGATAATAGTAAAGGACAGTGTTTTAAGGAATTATTTCTATTCTTTCTAAATGTTGTTCTGGCTGTCTTAACCTGGCACATGCCTGCCTGCTTGCACTCCTTTTGCAGAAGGCACAGGGCTGAAGGTCAATTTACCAAAGAGGGGTTCCTAAAGCAGAAAGGCAGCACTGTCAATCTTTTCAACCTAAATTCATCTAAAAATTAAAAAGCAGAATTTGACTGACTGTTTTAAGCTGCTTCAATACTTTTGTCCACTCCTCTGTTTTCATGGAGGATTAAAAATGGTACTGTCTTTGGGAAAAATGAAAGCAGCACCAACCTTGAGAATGATTCTGCCTCACTATAGTTGGGCAGTCCTGAGCTGCAGCCCCATCCTGCACCGTGTCATCCTGTGTGAATGCTGATACTCACCCAGCAGGGTCCAGACATGCCACAGAGGCTTTAGGATAATTTAGTTATTCCTTAAACTGTCTTTTAATTTTATCTTAATTACTTTTCTCATTGTGGAGACAAAATACCCAGTGCTCAAAGTTAAAGGAGGAATGATGTACCTCGCTCACAGTCTGTGGAGGTTTCAGTCCTTAGCTGGCTGGCTCCAGTGTAGGATGGCATGGCAGACAGGTATCACAAAGAAATAGTTCATGCCAAGCAGAAGGCAGCAAAGCAGCAGCAGCAGCAGCAAGAATGGCAGCAGCCCTCTTTCTTACATTCTATCCAGCTGTGTGCCCTTTTCTTATGTTCTATCCAGGCTTTGTACCCTTTGGGCATGTAGCACTCACACTCAAGGTAGGCCTTCCTCTTATCCACACCTCATCAATGGATTAATTTAGTAATAACACTCCCTTAATCCCAGTATCACATACCCTAGATCCAGCCACCCCACCAATGACCCCGTGAGGTTTTGGGGAGACATGTAGACACAAGCCATAACACATACTCAAAACAAAACAAAACATCCAATATTAAAACCACTTAATAGACTTACAAACTAACGTGCAGTCAAGTGTGTATCAAGGTGTGTTTTAGTGTGGCGATATGGTAGGGTAATGAAATGTGCAGACTGGCCCTGCACACTGAGCATTAACTCTGTAGCATTTGTGACAGAAGGGAACTTCCCTTCTGTCATGTTCTTATAGGCTGGGATGTAACAGCGGCACTGCCTGGGAGAAGGCCAGTCATGTTAAGACTGGTTTGAGGTGCAGTACTGGATTTCTGCTATTGGTATAATCTAGTTTAGTACACTTTGCTTCATATTTACAGTTTGGATGAACAAACAGACCTTTCAGCAGTTTACAATTAGGGAAGGCTTTGCACGTGCATGGAATGGTGGCATGCATTCATCTCTGTTTTCTTTTTTTTTTTTTTTTTGTCTTTTTCGTTTTTATCAGGGATCGAACTCATGACTGCCTGCTTGCAAGGCAGGCGCTTATGCCGCTGAGCTAAATCCCCAGCCCCCATCTCTGTTTTCATAAGCAGGCCACTTCTGGTTTCTGGTTTCTGTGTCACAGTTGATTTGAGTATTCCCGCCTGACTGATCAGTATTGCTTCTGCCCTTACTGGCTCAGTCTGCAGTCGGGATAACAGCCGCTCCTTGATTTTCTTTCTTTCTTTCTTTTTTTTTTTTTGGTATTGTCTCCTTTTCTTCCCTCCTCTTTAATAGGGGCACTAATTCTAGGGGTCCTGCTTTGCCCCTGGATCACCTCTGCTAGCAATCTTTCTGGAAATGTTTGAGTTCTGAAAGCAACTGAAAGTACCCGTTCTTTGGCACTGCAGAATGCGTGGTTGTTTTTGTTACAGATTCATGATCTTCAGAGGCAGCCTTTAAAACTAGATTTTTGTTAGCTTGCTGAGAAGGTGCGAGAGAAGTTATCCTGGTGGGCTTTGCTGGCACTGACCAACACACTGCTGGACATGCTTCCTGTTTGGGAGCCATAATCATCATCATCTTTCTCCTCTTCTTTCCCCATCATGATTGAATTTTTTTTTTTTTTTTTTGTGGTACCGGGGATTGAACTCATGACCTTACACTTGCCAGGCAGGGACTTATGCCACTGAGCTAAATTTCCGGCCCATGATTGAATTTTTTTTTTTACTTTTAACAACTGTATTTACCAAGATGGCTTTCTTTTCAAACATTTTTTTCTGCAATGCTCTTTTTTCTGAGTTGTTTCTGAAGAGGGGACTGTAAGTCTCTCTAAGCTGTTAAACGCTTCTGGTTCACACAAGTTTTCTGTTTCAGATCCCAACTGTTCTGCGTATCTAGTTGCTTATCAGTGCAAACACTTTTGCTGCTCCTGCTAAAATTGCATCCTGTTTATCTGACTATCCTGTTTATCCTGACTATCTGCATTTTGACCTGCAGATGGTCAGTAGATTTCAATAGAAGAACATGAAGAACTGTCACTATAGGTTTTTCCTGAGATAAAGGATTTTCTTGCACAAAATTCAGTGAGATCATATGGTTGTGGCTTAATATCAGTCAATCTTCAGAGGGTGCTGGCACCCTCACAGGTTTCACTGTTGCCATTTGTGGGGTTGTGGCTCTGTCATCGTGAGTCTGTCTACTGACGTTATTGCTTTTCTGTTCTGGTGAATCTGTAGAAACCCTGGAGAGTCTCTTTTCAGGTCTTAGTGATAGAAATATAAGGAAAGACATTGTCCCTTCATGCCTTCCCTTCTCTTCCTGACTGAAAATGCTCTTTTGCAAAGGCACATTATCAAAGGGGGTAGTATCAAAGATGTCAGACTAGAAGGCTCAGTTGAGTATTATCTTTTTTTTGGTGGTGGTGGTACTGGGTATTGAACTCAGTTTTGTGCATGCTAGGCAAGCATTGTACCACTGAACTACATTCCCAGCCCTAGAGGGCTCAGTTGTAATAGAGTGAAGTTTATGTTATACACCATGAGTCCATATGGTGAATTGAATTTTAGTCTCTAGAAACAAGGACAAATCATTTGGTCTTAATTTTTCTTGTTAGTTACTGCCACCATAGTTCAACAAGTTCTTCATTAGCATAAGCTCTGGCGCCTATCTCCATGGCTCTGAGGTAGGCAGTGGGCTCTGTACTGCATAGCATTTCGCTTCTAGTAAATGGTGTTTGTTAAGTAATAAACTTAAAGCTTATTTAGTCTCTTTCTCTTTTCATATCCCAAAGGATTTTTCTAAAGATGTTGCAGTGAAGGAGTTACCTTTGGATAAAACAGAAGATAGAAGCAGAAGAGAAGGTAAAGAGTAGAGTTGATATCTTGAAATTGCAGTAAAATGTATGTAAAGTTTTGTTTCACTCCTTTAAAAATATACAGGTCTATGACTCTAGGTACTTTCAAATGTTGTACGGTTGTTATCACTGTCAGTCTCCTAATCTTTGTCTCATCCAGTTGAACTGTATTCCTGTTTATCCTCATTCCTCCCCCTATGAGTTTTCTCTGTAAGTACGATCACACAGTATAATTATTTGACCTTTTGTGTCTGGCTCATTTCTTTCCAGTGTCTTCAAAGTTCTTCCATATAATAGCATGTGCTAGGATTTTCTTTGTATGGGCAGAACTGAGTTTTAGACATCCATTCCATTTATTTTCATTTTTAGGGCTGGGGATCAATCCCAGGGCCTAATGCATGCTAGGCAAGAGCAGAGCTGATAATTGAGCTATAACTTGAGCTCCTATTATTTTAATTTTTAATTAGTTTTTATTTCCAAACTAAGTTACTAATAGACTCCTTAAGATCCTAAAAGAAGTTTTCAGTAGTAAACTGAAATATATAATAGATTATATTTATCTATTGGTCCTAATCTATTATATATTTAGTATTACGAATGTGTTCATAAATTCTGATTTCAGGTTTTAATGATCTTTGCTAATAGATTAAAATTATTCTTTGAAAAATTTTATTTATTGACAGATTTTTTTTTTTTTTTTGTCTTTTTCCTTTTCATCGGTACTGGGGATCGAACTCACGACTGCCTGCTTGCAAGGCAGGCACTTATGCCACTGAGCTAAATCCCCAGCCCCTATTGACAGATTTTAAGGTAATTTGTTTTCCTGTATTCTAAACAGTTTAGAGTTTGAATAGTTTCTCCAATTTGGTCTCAGGGTTTTTTTTTGATGCAGTTTTTTTTTGCAGTGTCTAGATTATGGTTATTACTGACCATTTTACTTAATCATTTAATTTGTTCTTTTCCTTTAAATATTTTTAAGGGCTCTCATTCTTTTTTTTATCGGTACCGGGGATCGAACTCACGACCGCCTACTTGCAAGACAGGTGCTTATGCCGCTGAGCTAAATCCCCAGCCCCCTTTAAATATTTTTTAAATTTACTTTTCCTTTTAGTTGTTTTGAGACAGGATCTTTCTGTGTAGTTCGGACGGCCTTGAACTCACAGCGATCCTCTTGCCTTAGCTTCTTGAGTGTGGGGATTACAGGCATGTGCTACTATGCTCAGCTTTCCTTTCCTTTTTTAAAGTTGAGAAATCCTATTATTGTTCTTTTAGTAATTTTGTGAATGTTCTTTTAGTAAAAACAGTTGGATTTTTTTAGTACCTTACTAAAATTTAGTCAATTTTCAAGAATCTGAAATATAATTTTGTGTTTTAATTTTGCAGTAGATGACATCTTTATTTCTCAGTACTCTGTGGGACAGAAAGATGCTCTGAGAACAATTTTAAAGCAAAAGTAAGTGTTATTTATAGAAACTATTTGGACTGTGTCTTCATGTCAGCTTCATTTATATATTTATTTATTTATTTTATTGTATTTAAATTTTTTAATTTAATTTTTTGGTACCACGGATCAGACTCACAACCTCATGCTTTCCAGGCAGGTGTTTGTGCCACTGAGCTATACATCCTGGGCTTCATTTATATTTTGAACATAGAAAATACTTTCTTTGCCGTACATGCTGTAGTGTATGATAATATATAGAAAGCCTTTCTCATGGTACTGGTTACCTTTAAAGTACTCAGTAGGTGTTAGCTATTATTATTACAGAAAAGGCTCTATTCTAAGCACTATACTGCATCAGCTCATTTAACACTCCCCAAATCCTATGAAATAGATTCCATTACTACCCCAGTTTACAAAATACCTCCTCTCACTTAGTACAAAATCCTATGTGCTTCCAGGACCATCTTAATTTTATATTTTTTGGTTTTTTTGAGATAGGGTCTTGCTATGTAGTGCAGGCTTAACTTGAACTTTCTTATGTAGCCCAAGCTGACCTTGAACTTGTGATCTTTGTGCCTCAGCCTCCTGAGTACTGGCATTACTAGCCAGTACTAGCCCGAGTACTCGCATTACTAGAGCTTATGGCAATGACTGATGCAAGTCTATATAATGGATCTGCACTGGGAAGGCCCAGAGGTCACCGATGGAAGCCAGAAAATCTGTGCCAGAGGGATGAAGGATCTGTATCAGTAGATTGAGGGTGCTACACTGGAACCAAGAAGCGACACTCAAAATAAGGACTAGGGCTCCTCCATACCATAGTTGTACCATAGCCATCTTTAGTGACAGTGAGGTCCCAAGCTTCTCTGATGATGAGAACAGCTGTGTTCATATCAGGAAGCCAGCATGACAAGCTTGTCCTGGAGACTGAATGGCATACAATCTTCTCTTCTGGAGCCAGGAAGCAATGCTCAAAGTAAGGACCAGAGTTCCCCCAACATGAACCACAGCCATTCTCAGCAACTAGGTCCTGAGCTCCTTTGAAGATGAGAACAGGGGTGGGGGTTTAGCTCAGTGGCACAAGTGCCTGCCTGGCAAGCATGAGGTCATGAGTTCAATCCCTGGTACCAAAAAAAGAGAACAGCCAAGTTCATATCAGGAAAGACAAGCTCCTCCAGGAGAACCAAAAGCACCAAAAAAAACAACACTATTCTTCCTCTCCAGGTCTCCTTTTTATGCTGGCAACAATCCTCAGGTGGGCCATCTACACTCATCACCATGCTTATTCAGTTCAGCTGGTGTTTAAGTTGACCATCAGTTTTTAATCCACCACACCCAAGCTGGTTTTGAATTTGTGGTGATCCTCTGGCCTCAGCTTGCTAAATGCTGGGTTTACAAGTGCACCCTCCATGTATGTTTACAGAATTCTCCTTTTATAGATGAGGAAACTGAGACATTGAGCTTTTCCCAAAGTCATTTGGCAGATTGGTGCTGGGCTGGGATTTAAACTCAGTCTACTTTTAGAATTTATTTTCTTAACTGTGTCATTGTGCTACTTACAGCAATGGTCAAGTGGTTCCTTAAATAAATTACTATGAAAGAATGTTTAAACTTTTCCTGTGAAGATCTGGAAAGGGCAGGCTTGATGGAGTGAAGGAAGGCTTTAATTATCCACCCAATACTCCTCCCAGCTTTGTCTGAAATACCTACGAAGCATCTAAACCATGAATCCACAGTGTGAAGCAAGACACACCCACTAGTTGTAGGCAGTTTCTGTTATCTTTATCATCAATGTGATAGAATGAGATTATATTTTTAGGCTTAGGATGTTTTGCTAACATCCTAAAATATTAACAAAACAGCATGAAAAAGCCCCCTGAGAAAGTGGGAAAAATAAACACTGCCCTAAATCGTGGAGGTGTGGCCTAAGCCAGCCAGGTTGCATGGCTGGTTCTTTGGTCCCATCAGGTTTTCCCTTTTTACATTTGTTCAGCGCACAACTTATGATGTGTGACACGCAGTGGAAGAGAGGAATGTATGAATTTTTCCTGGGTTTGTACATGTCTGGGAAGTAGTAGGGTTAGGGCAGAGGGGCAGTGTAGTCTGTCATATTGTCTCCTTCAGCTCAGAGTCACGGAACTATAAAAATGACTCTTGTTTTTGGTTGAAAGACAGTAGTTGTGTTTCCAGAGATACACTTTAAAATAAAAAGACTGAAAAATAAAAAATACGATGCATGCACACACATTTGTTTTCCACTTTAGGGATTGTTTCCAGCCTTCCCAATGAGCTATATCCCCAGAACCTTTAAAAATTACTTATTTTGAAGGGGCTATGAATGTAATTCAGTGGTACAAGTGCCTGCTGGCAAGCTCAAGGTTGTGAGTTCGATCCCTGGTACCAAAAAGAAAAATGAAATTACTTATTTTGAGACATGGTTGTGCTAAGTTACCTGGAATATGAGTAGGCTTTCCACCCTCTTGCCTCACCTCTCCAGAGTGCTACCTGCCCCCTTGCAACAAACAGGTTTAGAAGAGAAAGCAAGTAAGAAGTAGGAATAGCAACATTACTGTAAGTTGAAGTAGAAATTCAAAGTATCAGTAAAGTATGATTTGTTATTTTGTTTTTTGAGGTGACTACATGGATCTCATCACATAGTTCAAGTAGGTGTTGAACTCACTATGTAGCGCAGGCTGGCCGCAAACTTACAGTGCTTCTCCTGTGTCAGCTCCTGAGCACTGAGATTATAGAAGTGTGCCACCACACTTAGCCCTTATATGTGTTAAATGGAGTAAGTAGAACCATTTTTATTTACTGTAGCAGGGTATATACATTTATGTTTTAGTCATGAAAATCTTTAATGAAAACAATAAAAGTACATAGTGTCTTTAAAAAGAGCATGTGAGGGAAGAAAGCCACCATGTTGTCACCCACTATTCCCTAACAGCTTTTTCTGCCCCAAAAGGCAGCCACTTTTTCTTTCACCTTTCTTGTGAAAGATAATTCTGTAAATCAAAGTTATATGCAAAGTTCCTTTGCCTTTTATTGTTATTAATATTATTTTTGTTTTCTGAGACAGAGTCTTGCTTTGCAGTTCAAGCTGGTTCTCTTACCTCAACCTCCTGTGTGCTGGAGTTTAGATTGTTCTTCTTGTACTGTGATAGAATTTAGTTTCACATTATTTCTTACCATCTTTACATTATAGTTACTCCAATGATTTCAGTGAAATCAACCACTAAATATATGAATTTTACTCATAAGTTGCATAAGTACAGACTTACAAAAATAATTTTATTATAAAATTTTCAGTACTGAAAATCAATTTGGATGAACCCTTGTTCTCTACCCAAGAATTACATTTAAATGTGTCCCAGAAGTAATTCCATTTTAAGTATTTTAAGTATTTGTGCATGTGTCTCTGAAAGATGAGTATTTACAAAGGTATTGCCGTAATGGTATTATTATACCATTTCTTTTGTTTTAATCTTTTTTTTTTTTTTTTATCAATACCAGGGATTGAACTCACGACTGCCTGCTTGCAAGGCAGGTGCTTATGCCACTGAGCTAAATCCCCAGCCCCTATTATACCATTTCTTAATATTCCTTAATATTATCAAATACTGAGTTAGCCTGAGTTTTCTTTTTTTTTTTTTTGTCTTTTTCCTTTTTATCAGTACCAGGGATCGAACTCACGACTGCCTGCTTGCAAGGCAGGCGCTTATGCCGCTGAGCTAAATCCCCAGCCCCCAGCCTGAGTTTTCTTGATTGTCTCATAATCACTCTCTGTCTGTCTGTCTTTCTGTCTTTCCTCTTTGTGATTCTGGGGTTTGGACTTAGGACTTCATATGTTAGGCAGGCAGTCTACCAGTGAGCTACACTCCGGCATATAAGTATGTTTTTAATCAGTAGTTTTGTCCTCCTATTTTTCTTACAAGAAAAGCAAAAAAGAAAAAAAGATTACTCCCTGATTATTTGCTGAGAGGAATTTCCTTTAGTCATTCTTTGTTTTTCTGAATTCTGAATTTTGTCCAGTAACAAAAGTATCTGATAGGGAATGTTACACTTCCTGTGGATGGGGAGGCTCAAGGTCTGATTGTATCTCTTTTTGTGAAATGAGGATCTATATGTGAAACACTGTATCATCTTTTATACATTGTAGTATTTAGGAAGTTGAGGGCAGATGTGCCAATCATTTCAAGAAAATGAGCAACAAAATGTATTTTTTTAAAACTTGAAACTTAAGAAAAAAAAACTTTACAAAAACAAAAACCAAAAGTAGCAAACAGAAACAGTAAAATGCTTTCAGATTGTTCTTGGAACTATATCAGTGTAATAGGCAAACTCTTGACACATGTAGGTCAGAAAAATGAGAGAACATGTAAATTAGAAATAAAAAGGTACACAGTGATAGGTTTAGACGAAAACAAACAAGAATATAACCCTGTTACATGTTACACACTTAAAAATCTGGCTGAAATTAAATGATGCACCAAAAATATCATGGAAATATCATAGATCTTAATAGAACAGTTACTGGAAAGGAATTAAAAACACTTTCAAAAAATAACTATTCAAAACAGTGATGATTTTGTTTGAGTTCTTGAAAAATTCTAAGAAAAGAATTGTGCACATGCTGTATTCTGCTCTAACACAAGAAAAAGCAAGGAACGCTACCACATTATTTTATTGTGCTAATCTAGCCTGAGAACCAAAAGTTAAAAATTAGTTTAATCAGAGGTATTTTGTTTATGCTGTTGTTAAACAAAAGTAATTTTAGTTTTAAAAAGCTCTTGGAGAGCCAGGGGTTTAGTTCAGCGGCATAAGTGCCTGCCTAGCAAGCATGAGGTTGAGAGTTTGATCCCCGGTACCAAAAAAAAAAAAGAGTTCTTAGAATAAAATAAGTAATATTCTTATAATAGTTAAAGCAAGAGATATATTAATATTGATGTGTTGTTATTGTAAGTAAGTTTTGAAAATTATATTTTACTTTTTAAAATAATTTTATTAGAGCTGGACGTGGTGGCACACACGGGTAATCCCAACACTGAGGAAGAAGAGGCAGGAGGATTACTGCAAGTTTGAGGACAGCCTGAACTGCATAGTGAGACACTGTCTCAATAGGAAAAGAAAAATATTAGTACATTTGCAGTACACAATGATTACATTCATATGGGAAACTGGTACATGTACATTATAAATCTTAGTGCTTACCATTCCTGTCCCCTCTTTTCCTATCCCTCCCCCCTTTTTTGCTACTGGAGATTGAACCCAGGGACTTACACCTTCTAGGTAAACACCTTACCTCTGATCTACATCTCTAGCTCTCCTTTTAATTTCAAGACGAGGTCTTGCTAAATTACCTAGACTGGCCTCAAACTTGAGATCTTCCTGCCTCAGCCTCTTGAATAGGGGAACTCTAGCGTACCTGGTTATCATATGTTAAAAGATCAAGAAGGGGAGGAGAAGGAGGTAAAGAATTAAGATGTGTTATATACACGTACCAATCATTATGTATTATAAACATGTACCAATAAAAATTTAAAAAAGATCAGTATACAGTGGTTAAATAGAACTTAGTCCAGGAATGTTTCATTGTTTTAAAAACAATACAGTAATAGAAAATTCTTTTTTTTTGGTACCGGGGATCGAACTCACAACCATGGGCTTGGAAGGCAAGCGCTTATGCTGCTGAGCTAAATCCCCAGCCCAGTAATAGAAAATTCTCATGTGAAACCTGTCATACTATTTGCACTAGTAATTCACGTGCTGTTAATGCATTTATATCATTTGATCAAACAAAACACATAGGACAGGTACTGCAGGTCACATATAATAATGTTGTACACCTATTTTTTATTGACCTACCACACACACATAAATAAACCTCCTAATTGTGCTTCTGTAGTCCCAGCTGTGTAGGAGGCTGATGCAGGAGGATTATGACTTTGAGGCCAATCTGGGCAATGTACCATGACTTCATCTCAAAAAGGAAAGAAAAGCCAGTAAAGAAGTTGCTGTCTAGCTTTATAATGTTATTTTTCTTATTGGTAAAGGGTAAGTCATTTTCAAACTTCGGATAAGGGAAGGGAAGGAATAGCTGAATTATATTTTCTTAGTACATTCTTCAGTTGGTTAATACAACCTAGTACTTTATTACTTGCTGTTTGGTATAAAAGAACTCTCTCGTCCTCCCTGGGTTGTGGACAGCTTAGTTGGGAAGAGATATGTACATGTATGGAAGAATCAGATGAAACCCCAGGGGTAAAGTACGTATACTTTGTGGATTTCTTGTAAAGAGATGATATGAGGAAGGAGAGGCACTGCCTTGGAGCGGGAGCTGCAAGACATGGGAATCAGGCTGCCCTCCGTGACTGCCTGAGGAAACCCTGTTGCCTCTGCAGCTCCAGGTCTCCATGTAAAGTTGGAGAATTAGCATGGACTATGGTTCCCAGGCTGCACAACTCTGTGACACTTCTGCAATTGTGATGCAATGACTGGGGAAACTAGCTCACGTGGGTACTAGAAGGCAAGCAGATAGAGAAGGTGCGACAGGGCTCAGGCTCCCAGTAAAAATGGGGAAGCATTGAAGAGGTGTAAGTGTGGGTTCTGCGCTGTCTTTAAAAGTCGTTTGAGGGGATCCAGTAGCTGTATTCGTGCTGGTTTTGCTTTCTTGCCTGAGGGTTCTTCACTGCCCCAGCAAATGACCAGTACTGGGTTAAATGCCTTATTGCAAATGCAATAATGAGTCTATTTGCCAGACTCATTTAATCCAGCCTATTGAATGGTGTCTTTGGTGCCATTTAAAGAACTCTGGGTGACATTTATGAATTAAGTCAGGAGTTTTAATAATTCCTCTTGGGGACTTTGGCTCAGTAAGACAAGCCAGACACTAAAAGATGATTCCTACTTAATCTCACTTATATATGGAATACATAAAACATGAAGTTCTTGGAAACAGGGTAGGTTGGTGTTTGTTGGGGTTGGGAGTAAAGAGGAAGATGTTGGGCAAAGGAGACAATTTCAGTTAGTATGAATAAATTCTAGAGATCTGTTACACAGTGTGTTGACTGTAGTTAATAACAGTATCAGGGCCAGGTATGGTGTAAAACCAGCTCTTGGGAGACTGAGGCAGGAGAATTGCTGTGAGTTGAGGTCAGCCTGGGCTGCACGGTGAATTCAAGGCCAGACTAAACTGCAGAGTGAAACCCTGATCAAAAAAGACTGAAAAAAAAATCAGTTGCTAAGAGTGAATCTTAAATGTTCTTACCACATACACAAAAAAGCTAAGTTTGCAAAGTGGTGGGTATGACAGTGATACTGATTTTGGCTGTCATTACACAACATATACCAAAACATCATGTTGTATACTATAAATATATGTATATTAATTTCATTATCTCAAAAAATTATAGTCAAAACATTCATTAACAGTGTTATAATTTTTTGTGTGTGTTGTACTGGGCTTTCACACTAAACTGTATCCATCACCCCTTTTTCTGTTTTTTTTTCTTTGATACTGTGAATTAAATTCAGGACCTCACATGCTTGCCAGGCAGGCACTGTGTCACTGAGCCATATCCCTTACCCTTTTTGTTTGCTTTGGACAGATTCTTACTGAGTTTCCCAGACAGGGCTTTAATTTGTAGTCTTTTGGCCTCAGTTTCCCAAGGTACTGGGATCAAATATGCACCATTATGCTACTTAATTTTTTTCTTCTCTTTGGTGCTATGTGTCAAACCTAATCCCTTGTGTGTGCCGAACACCCATTTTATGCTAATCCTAATGTTACAATTCTAAAAGTAGAGAATAAAAAATTTTTCTTTTGGTACTGGGGATCAAACTCAGGACACAGTGCTTGCCAGGTAGGCACTGTGCCACTGAGCTATATCCCTGGACCTGGAGGATAAAATTACCAATGCTTTATGAACAAAGGAATTTCTGTTAGAGTGTTAAACTAGGAATTTGCATTTTTGAACTTTTCCTGCATGTTTTACATTTATACATTTTTATTCTATATCTTTATGACTTGGCTGTTCATTTATTTTTTTTGAGACAGGTTGTTCTTATATAGTGTAGGCTGGCCTTAAACACACAACAATCCTCCTGCTAAAACAGTAATTGTGACCTAATTGCAGTCATTGTATTCAATAAAACTGCAACCATTCTGTTCTCTGCCACTGAATTCAGCGAAATCATATGGCTTGTCATCAATCTGGAACTTCTGTGATTGTGCTAAAAACAATTTTGCTACATACAGCTATGCTCACATGACATAGTCTTTAACCAAGCTTATCTAGTTTTTTGTAACTTCTGCTTGCCACCCTGTAAAAAAGACAAACTCGATGTAATTTGAAAAACTTTGGTGACTACTTCTCTGGGATCCACTGGTGTTAAATACAATTTCCTTTCTTTTCCTGAACTCTTAGATACTGTTGATTCAATTTTCCTTCAACACTGCCTCAGCCTCCCCAATGATGAGATCACAGACATGCGCCATCATGCCCAGCTCACCCCAATTGCTTATTTGTAAATCTTCTCTGAGACTATCACTACCTTTAGGCAGTCATCTTCTTTAGTTCTTAGTGAACTAAGCCTTAATAGAGGTCATGAACAAAGTTACTATATTTTGATTCATTTGTTATTTCTAGGGCTCAAAGCATACCCATTTTTAAGGAAGTGAAGGTACATCTTTTAGACGACGCAGGTGTGGAGAAGGTTGCTGCCCCTCCAGAGGCCAGAGGTTCACCCAGTGGAATTGATTCTGCTACTGCTGTGGCTGCGGCAACTGCAGCTGCCATTGCCACTGCAGCTCCCCTGATCAAGGTACTTGCTCGCAGCAAACACGCCTGTTATATCAAAATCATGAAATGTGAAAACATCTACCGAGAACGGATTCTGCAAATGATCATGTCCAGATGTACACCAAGGCCACTATATTCGCAGTTTGAAAGGACTTTCTGCTTGTGGCTGTGTACTGGAGTTGTGAAACGACCCTCCTCACTGCAGCGGTGCTAGTGAGTCCAGGGCTTTCCTCCCTGTAGCACTGAGGGTGGGTCTGCATCCTGGTGAATGTCTCAGTCCCTGCAGTAGGAATGACAGGTTATCCTCATTTGAGAGCTAGAAGGAGCCTGACGTCGCTGCAGCTACTTAAGTCTGTGGTGAGGAAATAGCCACAGGTCATGGAAGGACCAGGCTTTATAGATAGTAGGACTAAAACTAGAGTTCATGGTTGCTGTCCTGATTCATCCTTAAATGGATGAAATATCAAAAACTACTCCGTTCTGCTAATTTTAGTCTCACTCTCTCTCTTTTTTTTTTTTGGTACTGAGGCCTGAGCTCATGACCTTGTGCTTGCCAGGCAGGCACTTGTGCCGCTTATTTGTTCTCTTTTAATTTCCATTTAAATGTCTTATTTTTGCATTATACATTTCTGTGTAGCAAATTTGGTGTGTATATGTTTTTAAATGAGAGGAAGCACACCTAACGATTGGTATCTTCTGCATTTTACCTCTATGACTAAAAGGCATCAGATCATCAAAAAGTAGTTGTAAAAGCTCCAATGTGATAATTTTCAATATCAGTTGCCATAAATAACTGTCTAGTGATTGAAGATAGTTTTGGTATCTTTCTACAATATGAAATACTATTCTGATATTTTTATTGTTTCAGGTGCAGAGTGATTTGGAAGCAAAAGTTAATTCTGTTACGGAATTACTTAATAAATTACAGGAGACTGATAAACACTTAAAACGTGTTACAGAGCAGCAGACAAGCATTCAGAATAAACAAGAGAAATTGTACTGTCATGACCATGAGAAGCAAATGAACGTATTCATGGAGCAGCACTTAAAGCACCTGGAAAAATTACAGCAGCAGCAAATAGATATCCAGGTAGCTGTAACAAAGCCAGTATGCATCCTGGCATCTTTTTTCATTGCCCCTCAAGTTAGATAAATTGCAGTAGCTCATTAGATTATAATAGCTTTGCTTCTTGAATTGTGATTTACTTCTTTATCGTTCTTCATCTCATTGGAGACTCTGAGTATTCTAGCTCAAATATCACTAATCCTATAAGATCTTTCCTTATAGTTGGTTTTTTCCTTTTTCTTTTCTTTTATTTATTTTTTATTTTAAAGATAGTAAAATTCAACAAAATAAGACAGAACAAAGCCAGTCAAGACAATGCAGCAAAATTGCTACAGAACTTCAGAGCAGGATACCAGGAAAACAATAATAGCTACCATATATATCTTGTTATCTTCACAGTAGTTGTCCCTTCCATCAGGTATAGCAAAATCAAACCAAAACCAAAACACTATAAAACAAATCAAAACAGAATATTGAATAAAGTAAACTAATCAGAACGAAGCAGAACAGTGAAAACAATAATGGACTTCAAAGACAAGTTAGAAGGAAATCCCCCATATTTGCTATATTGCATATTGTCATCCTCCCAAGAAATGCTTAGACTGCTGGCCCCAGGCCTACATAATCAACAAACAATACAAGCATTTAGTTGTTTAATGTACCTTAGTTGCGATCAACTCCAGGAGTGGACACCATCCAGTGCTGGGAGGAGGGGATGGAATGTTTGATTCTCAGCCCTTGCTGGTAGGCTCATGGGAGACGCTGACGTGTTCTTTTCCTGGCTCACCCACTGCTGACCTCTGCTTGCACTGCTTACCAGGAAGGAGGGCTGATTGCTTTCTTGCTCAGCCCCCCAAGTTCCAACATGGCTGGATCTTGGTAGATGCTGACTTGTTCTCTCCCTGGCGCGCCCGCTGCTTGCTTGCGTCGCAGCTGCTTACCTTGAAGGAGGGCTTGTTGCTTTCTTCTCTTTTTGAATTTTTGAGACAAGGCTTCACTCTACAGTTCAGGCTGGCCTTGTACTGGGCGCTGAACTCCGAGCCTTCTGACTGGCTGTATCCACAGCTCATTTTATCTTGAGAGAGGATCTCCCTAAACTACTAACTACCTAGTCCAGGCTAGAACTTGCAGTCTTCCTGCCTCAGCCTCTCAGAGGGCTGGGATCACAAGTGTGCACCTCCACCTCTGGCTAATAATGAATATTTTTAATGCCTTTTGGGTACGAGACTTTGGCCTGTCACAAAAAGAAGAGTCATCCTCAGGAAGAGTTGATAGTTTTTATTTTGGAACTGCCAAGTCTTAGAACATTATGCAGTCCTCAACCTTTTTTTTTGTCTTTTTCCTTTTTATTGGTACCAGGGATTAAACTCACAACTGTCTGCTTGCAAGGCAGGTGCTTATGCCGTTGAGCTAAATCCCCAGCCCCCTCAACCTTTTTTTAATAAATGAGTAAATGACCATTGTAAATTTGTTTTTTTCTAATTAATGTGCAGTTTTATTTATTGGTTTATTATTTATTTTGAGGCAGTCTCTGTGCAATTTAGACTGACTTTGAACTCACTATGTAGCTGAGGCTGGCCTCAGACTGGTGGTGATCCTCAGCCTTCTGAGTGCTAGAATTACAGGCATGCACCACCGTGCTTGGCAATGTAGTTTTAATGTTTTAAAACTTAAAAAATTATAATATGTAGCATTCAGAAGAATGTACAAAAGTGAGTTTATTAGATGTTAATATGTTATCATGAAATGAACAGTAAAGTCATGCAATTTTCATGATTTCTTTTGTTGTTGTTTCTCTGTTTTTGAGATAGGGTTTTATTTGATAGTTCAGGATACCTTAAATTGACTATGTAGCCCAGGCTGGCCTCAAACTCAGCAGCAGTCCTTCCCTCTCAGCCTCCTGAGTGCTGGGATTTACAGGAGTGTACCACCATACCTGGCTACCTGGAATTTCTTGATAAGGGTGTATTTTAAGCTTTTCATGAGACCAAAGAGCATATTGAATGATTTTATACATATAATAAAGTTTTAATAAGTACTTGAAACATAACTAAAATAATTCCATCACTCTGGGAAGTTAGAGTTCAGCCTGGGAAACTTAGCAGCTTTCAGAGACCCTCTCTCAAAAATCTGGAAAGGGCCGGGACTATAGCTCGCTGTAAAGGCTCTGGGTTTGATCCATTATAGTGAATGAATGAATGATAAAATTAAATGTGCAGCATATTATTTCATGGAGGCCAGTGTAAATTGGTCTTATTGTCATTTGCCAGTCCATAAATAACTTCTCTGAGCTTGATTTTTTTTTTCTTGATACCAGAGATTGAACTTACAACCTTATGCTTGCCAGGCAGCCACTTACGCAGCTGAGCTAAATCCCCAGCCCTGACTTGGTTTCTTTAGCTAAAATGTATTGTTGGTATTTGGAGATTCTTTCATTGTTGTTGTTATATTGTGCTTGGAATTGTATCCATGGCCTTGCTCACCCTATGCCAGTGATATACCACTCAGCTACACTGTGGCTTTTTAAAAGTTTTTATTTTGAAGTGGTGGCTCACATTTGTAATTCCAGCACTTGGAAAGCTGAGGCAGGAGGATTGCTGCAAGTTTGAGGTCAGCCTGCACTACATATCAAGACCCTGTCTCAAAAATACAATATAACAAAAATGGAATAAAATAACATTTACCATTCAGAACTTAAAGGTGGGATGTTTTCTTTCTGAATTTTTGGTTGAAGTGGAAATTGAGGATTGAGCCTTTCCTTCTTGGCCTTCTCTTGGCCTGTTGAGTGGCCTCTAAACTTGGTTGGTGAGATGGGCAGGGAGTTACTGAAGTCTGAAACAGTTAGAGTGTGACTGGTGTCACAGGTGACAGGCTAGGCATCTTGTGTCCTTCATTCCCCAGGGCATCTCTGCAGGACTCCAGAGTTGCTGCAGAAAGGTCTGCTTTGTCTGCTTTGTCATGGTTGATTAAACGTCAAGAATTGGCTTCAAATCTGCTAATACTTCTCAGTACATTTTGTCATCTGACCCTTTCAGATGATATTTCAGATTAACAACATGATCTTATTTCCTGTAGACCCATTTTATTAGTGCTGCACTGAAGACCAATACTTTTCCACCTGCTAGCACGCTTGCCCCCAGAGCCATGGAGAAGCATTCCAGAGAACCAGGATGTCCTTTTGTCGGCGGCAGCATGCTGTCCTCACATGAGCCATTTGCTTCCAAACAAGGTGAACATAGTTAGTTCCTTATGAATAAAAAATGTCAGCCATGTGTTTCCCTCATTCCGTACAAGCTAAGATCATATTTAAGTAGTGGTAGGAGTTCTTTATAAAATTTATTTGAAGTCTTTTTTCCTTTATTTTGGTGGTGCTTGAATTTGAACCCAGGGACCTTGCACTGAGCCACCTCCCCGGCCCTTTTTTGGCACAGGAACTCCCTAAATCATTATGCTACTTAAGCAGGATTCAAATTTGTGATTTTTCTGCCTAAGCTGCCCAACCTGGTGGGACTATGAGTATGCACCATCATATTTCATTTGTAGCAGTCTTCATTTTATAAAATTAGTCCTTTTCTTGGGTCAAGTGCATCTTAGGTTATTATGCAACTTGTTAAAATTATGGATCATGTCCTAATTTATGGTTTTAATTAATAACTTTCATTAAGTGGTCAGAACATTGACACATCTAAGAAACATTTATTTGTATGGTATTAGAAATACTTGTAATATTTCTTTAATTTTGTGATGAAGTTCATATTTACCTTTTTCTTGATTTTGCCAGTGAAAACCCCACCTAACTACAATTATAAACTACTACTGTCCCCCATTATCTGCAGTTTTCCTTGCTAGTGTTTCAGTTATCTAGCCCTTTTAGTCTCTGAATATTAAATGGAAAGTCCAGAAATAAACTATTGTAAGTTGGATGTTGTTCCAAGTAACATGAAATTCCCTCTTGTTGTATTTGGTCCTGTCCAGGATAAGAAGTGTCTCTTTTTCCAGGTATCCGCAGTGTTCCTTATGTGTGAACAGGACAAACTGAGTATACACACACACACACACACACACACACACACACATATATATCCAGTGATATAGCATATAGGTATATATGTATGTATATATATGGCTTAGCACTGTCAGAAGCTGTAGCATGCCCTTGGAGTCTTGGAACATATCTCCCATGGATAATGGAGAGGTCAGGGGCTACCCTATTTCTAAGTAGTTCTGGAGTTACTGATGCAAATCTGTTTTTTTTAATGGAATATAATATAACAGGAATATGTATCTTATTTGTTAAAACTTTAGAATTCAGAGTAAATTAATAAATACATTTCCAAATTGTTGACATATGATTAATGAATTAAGGAAAATCAAAGAACTGGCCTTTTCATGATATATAGATCCATGTATTATAATTTGATGACTTGTTAGGAAGTCATTGAATTACAATTATTAAAGAATCCTTATAAGGTGGTATATACTTAGTAAAAATGAATAGTCCTTATGAAACAGTTGTGAAGTACTCAGTGAATTTTCAAATTGAGGTGAGAGGAATGTGAAGCAGGAAGCACGTGACCTGTCTGCTGCAGGTTCCCAACATTGAAAGAAGATACCATAGCCAGGCTAGGACTCGAGGTGTCTGCTGACCTAGTCCTAGATCACTGTCTATAGAAGTGGACGCTTTGTTTCTAGTCTGCTTACTCAAGTCCAGAAAATTATTTGTTCATGATTTTGATTTTTTGACTTGAGTTTAAAGGAAAAATGTCTTTTATTGATGGTCTATGTTTACTCAGTTAGTTTCTGTGTGTATGTGCATTATAATAAGAAATAAAAATGAGTAAATTAAAAATCCAACAAACTTATTTTTCTCTGCTTCTTGGACATAACATCATTTTTTTATGTAGTTGTAGTTGTAACATAGATACATTTTGTACTTTTTATTAAATCATTTTCTACTTAAATACAATTCATCTTCACAATTTTAACTTGTATTTTTGTGGTCCTGAGAATTACACCTAGGGCCTCTTGCATGCTAGGCAAGTTCTTTGCCACTGAGCTATGCCTCTCAATTTAAAACTTTAATAACTATGATTTAGTAATTAAAGGATAGTCTATTGAATAACTATTCCACAATATATTTGATCGTTTTCTTATGGGACAGGTAGGCAGTTTTTAAGTTTTGCTTTTTATAAGTGATACTCTGCTAAATATGTCATACATTAAACATTTTCTTTTTTTATTTTATTTCCTTAAGATAAATTCTCAAGAGCAAGATTAATAGATCAAAGTATACTACCAGATGGTTTATCAGTTTCCATTGTTGTAGAAATGTGTTGCTGTGCATTTTCACCACAGTGTAAAATACTGAATATTAGTATAGTGATTTTTTTTTCTTCTCTTTTTTATCTTTTTGAGGCAGGATCTCGCTATGTAGTTCAGGCTAGATGTCCCAGTCTGATCTCAAACTTGCGATGATTCTCCTGTCTCAGCCTTCCCAGTGCTGGGATGACAGGCATGTGCCACCATGCCTGGCTACATATTGTATTGATTCTTGTTTACCAGGTTTATGTGTAGAATGGTTATAATGTTCATTTCTTTTGGTTTTTAGTAAAGATGATGCTATTTCCATACATTTGTTAATAATTTGTGTATCCTGTGAGTTTTTGTTTTATTTTTAAAGTAGAGGGAAGAATAATACTCTATGATTTAAGCATTTTAAGTAATTTACATTTATTATTCTCTACTAAAGCAACTTTAAGAAAAGTTGAAGATACTTATTTTGATGAGCAGGAATCTCCTTTGGAGACACCAGCACCTCGCAGGTTTGCTCCTGTACCTGTTTCTAGGGATGGTGAAATGCCAAAGAGGGAAAATCCTATGGAAGAAAAAGAAAATATGGAAAAATCAGATTATAAAGGTAAGAAAGTAATTGTATCTATACCCATTTTTTAGTACTATTTCAAGTTAGAAAATTGTCCTGAGATTTTTCTCATTCACAATTTATAAAAATCATACCACAATGATATATGTGCACTCATGTTTATAGCAGCACAATTTTCAGATCTTGAAAACAACCTAAAGGCCCATCAACTAAGGAATGGATAAAAAAGATCTTGTGTTTTTATGCAATGGAGTACTACTCAGCCACAAAGGAGGCTAAACTAGAGACCTGTATAGCTAAATGGATACAATATGAGACCATACTCATGAGTGAAATAAATAAGACACACATTTGTAATCATTGTCTCACTAGCGTGAGAAGCTGAAAACAACAACATATGTATATATATATGTATACAAAAAAGTAGTTCAGATAGTTATACTACTGATTTCTCTGAGTTCAATAAAGAGAAAGATTTGTGCTGGTACTGTTCATAAATTGTAAGCAGATGTCTCGTGCTCCATGGGAATGACCTTGGGGTAACAATGTGCAATGTATGTATGCACCAATTTTGCCCCTAGTTGATGTGCTTTGAAATTTTGTTTTAGACTTTTTTTCCTTGAAATAAAATGTATTTTTTAAAAAAAGTTTATATATCAGTGTTTTCTCCAGCTGAACACAGTAATAAAGATTAAATTTCCCTCTCAGGGAAATTAACCTTTGAAATTCACACCTAAAAACAATGTAAGGAAATCTGCTCTAAAAATGTTCAGCCTTACTTTTAGCAAAGAAATGGCTATTTATTAACAACAAAACTTGTTCATTAAAGGTTTAGAATAACTTAAGGGGATAGATCAATTAAAGCTGTATACTCTTAACTCCTACAGAGTCTCTAAAGAACCTTGCTTTGCCTAGTTAAGTATAGTTTAAAGAAAAATATTGAGAGAAACAAGAAGCCAATTCACCTTTCCCATGAGCACGAAGTGGCCCAGTTGGGGCCAGGAAGAAAAACAAGAAACACAGTTTGCCCTTCCTGTGAATCAGCTGGCATGCAGGCTACAAGACAAGGAGAGGGTCCCCTTCACTCCTCTGTAAGAAACCAGCTGATTCAGAGGCATAGGGGCTGAGTTGATAGCAACTGATGTATGAAAACAATTCTTGTACTGTTTGATTGACTTTGCAGGTCTAAAGCTGGTAGTCTGAGCATCTATTTAGAAGATAACAATAGGTAATATAGCAACTATGGGGTTTCCATCTGTCTTTCTTTGAAATCCATTATTGTCCTTACTGTTTTGTTTTGTTCCATTGTATTGCTTTGTTTTCTTCAATGTTCTACTTTCATTAGTTTTGTTCTGTTCTGTATTGTTTCATTTTATTTTCTGATGGCATGGACAGCAAATTTGAAGATAAGAGGCTTTATGGTAACCATTGTTGATTACCTATTATCCTGTTTTGAAATACTGTCTCACTTTCAATGGTTTGTTCTGATTGGCTTTATTCTGTTTTGTTTTGTTTCATTCTCTTTAAAACAAAATAAAATAAAAAAGAAAAATATTAAAAATATAGATTTAATGTTTCTATTTTAATATTAAGATCTTTGATCCATCCTGATTTTAGCTTAGTACATGGTAGAATACATGGGTCCAGTTTTGATGTTCAGCATGTGGAAAGCTACTTTTAAAATTTTCATTAAAGAGGGTATCTTTCTACCAGTGAATGTGTTTGGCACATTGATCAAAGATAAGATGGCTTAGTGTGTCTGGAGTTGTTTTTGCATCTTCTAATCTGTTCCATTGATCTTTGGGTCTGTTTTTTTCCCCAGCATCGTACTTTTTATCACAGTAGTTTTATAGTACAATTTCAAATCAGGGATTGTGATACCTCCTGTCTTGTCTTCGTTGCCCAGAATTGCCTTGATTATTTGAGGTCTCTTGTGGTTCCAGATGAATTTTAGGATTGTTTTCTCTAATTCTGTGAGATATGCTATTAGAATTTTGATTGGGATTGCATTGAATCTGTATAACAATTTTGTAAGTATGGCAATTTTTACTATATTGGTTCTTCCTTCCCAAGAGCACTGGGGTAGTTCTCCAAGTACTATAGTTTTCAATGTAGAGGTCTTTTACCTCCTCTGTTAGATTGATTCCTAGGTATTTTATTTTTTTGAATGCTATTGTAAAAGGTGTTATATCCCTGATTCTCTCTCACTGAATTTGTTATTCGTGTACAGGAAGGCTATTGGTTGTTGAGTGTTGACTTTGTAACTTGCTATGTTATGAATTTGCTTATTAAATCTCTTAGTCTTTTGGTAGAGCTTTTGGAGTCGTCTAAGTAGAGTATCATGTCATCTTCAAATAATGAGAGTTTAACTTCTTTGTTTCCTATCTTTATTTCTTTTTCTTAACTAATTCTTCCAGCTAAAGTACCCAGGACTATGTTGAGTAAGAGAGGAGACAGAGGACATCCTTGTCTTGTTCCTGATTTTATAGAGAAAGCTTTCAGTTTTTGTCCATTTAATATATTAGCTGTTGTTTGTCATAGATGGCTTTTATCAGGTTGAGCTAAAGACCATCTATTCCAATTTTCTGTAAGTTTTTTTTTTTTTTATCATGAATGGATGCTGGACTTTGTCAGAAGCTTTTTCTGCATCTAGTGAGATGATCATATGATTTTTGTTCTTGGGTCTGTTAATATGGCATATTATATTTATGGAGTCATGTATGTTGAACCATCGCTGCATCCCTGGAATGAATCCCACTTGATCATGGTGTATAATCTTCTTGATGGTTTGCCGCAGTCTGTTTGCCAGAATCTTACTGAGGATTTTTGCCAAAGTTCATTAGGGGGACTGGACTGTAATTCTCTTTCTTATTTGCATCCTTCACTGGTTTTGGTATCAGGGTAATACTTCCAGGAATGAATTTGGAAGTACTGCTTCCTGTTCAGTTTCATTAAGGAGTTTCAGAAGCCATAGTGTTAAGTCTTCTCTAAATTTCTTTTCTTTTTTTTTTTTTTTTTTTTGTCTTTTTCGTTTTTATCGGTACCAGGGATCGAACTCACGACTGCCTGCTTGCAAGGCAGGCGCTTATGCCGCTGAGCTAAATCCCCAGCCCCCCTCTCTAAATTTCTTGAGAATTCAGCGGTGGATCTGTCAGGGTCTGGGCTTTTCTTTGTTTGTAGGTTTTTAATTACATGTTTAATTTCATTTATTGATATTGGATTATTTAGGATTTTTATATCATTTTTATTCAGCTTTGGTAATTTATATGTATTGAGGAATCTGTCCATTTCTTCTGTATTTTCCATCTTGTTAGAATACAAGTTTTCAAAGTAGGTATAGGTGATTTTTTGGATTTCTGCTGGGACTGTTGTGATTTCACTCTTTTTGTTCCTAATTGCATGGATTTGAGTCTTTTTTTTTTTTTTTTTGATAAGGTTGGCTAAGGGTTTGGCAATTTTATTTAATCTTTCAAAGAGCCAAGGCTTTGATTCTTTGTATTTTTTTTTTTTTTTAGTGTGCAGTGTGTTAATTTGTGGTCTGACCTTTATAATTTTTTCCCTCGTACAAGCTTTTGGCTTAGCCTACTCTTCTTTCTCTAGAAGTTTGAGGTTCAGCATTAAGTTGTTTATGTGCATTTGCTCTGTTTTCCTGAGATGGGTATTTACTGCTATAAGTTTCCCTCTTAACACTGCTTTCATTGTGTCCCACAAGTTCTGCTTTGTGTGGTGTTATTATTCAAATATAAAAACTGTCTAATTTCTTCTTTAATGTCATCTATGACCCATCAGTTGTTGAGTAGGGTGGTATTTAATTTTCGTGTGTTTATGAAGTTCTCGTGGTTTCCTTTGGCATGGATTTCCAGTTGCATTGCACTGTGGTCTGATATGCATAGGATAATTTCAGCTCCTTTACATTTACTTAAGCATGTTCTTTTTTTTATTTTTTTTATTTTATTTTTTTTTTTTTATTTATTTTTTTTTTGGATTACATATTGTCATCTTAGAAATAATTGTTCAAGTCACAAAATTAAAGCTTGTAAAGTGGACATTCCATCAATGATACTGCTAACAGTTCTGTTCATTGATCCAATAAAACTCTGTGATATCATTTTCTATCTTATACACTTAAATATACATGCAGTTATATAGTTTGGAGCACTTTCTTTTCCTCTCTTTTGTACCATGACTATTACACATTTTGGGTTTCATTGCTCCCACGGTTCTTATTACTTTTTTGGAAGAGAGTAAAACCAAATGTGACATAACAGAACAGAATCGGTCAAGTCAAAAGGGTGGACATAATAGATAATGTAAAAACATAATACAAGGTGATCAACAATGGTTACCATAATGCCTCCCGCTATCTCTAATAGAATTGCCTATATCATTAGTTATAATACAATTGAACAAAACAGTAAAGAATAAAACCGACAAAACCAAAACATTGGAGACATTGTAGGTCTTCAAAAGTAGATAAAAGTCAACAAGAATGGGCGTCATAATGAATCTCATTATCTTCACAGCTGATGCCTAAACTTTCGAACCTGATACTATCCAGCAAAACAGAATAGGGGAACATCAGTTAAAAACCAGATGGTGAGAGTAATACAGGGCTTTAAATCAAGGTAATGAAAAGTCAAAGTGGGTTACTATAATATATCCTGCTATTTTTTTTCCTTTAATTAAAAGGATAAAGATAAAAAAGTAAATAATGGAGTGGAGATTGAGATAAAAGAGGGCATAACAACGAAACAGCGCAGATCAAAACATAACCATTTAAGCAGAATAGGGTTTCACCACCAGATAATCCTAACCTAAAAGTAGTTACCATGTTGTTTCTTTCTTTGAAATCCTTGAGTACAACTTCGTATACTGTAGCATTAAGTATATCAAAACAATGTAAAACCATTCAAGAGAATGACAGTATTACAGAGTATTTAGAATCAACTAACAAAATGAACAATGGTTTCGGTATAATCTCCTTGTCTTTAAAAGGTTTTTGCTTATACTATCGTACATAATAAAATCCAATAAGA